CCCCCCCGCGGCCCCCCCATCCCGCTCCCCACCGCTCCGCACCATCGTAGTAGTAGCAGACTTTCCTCTTGGTCCCCTGCGTCAGCGCCATTTTCCTGCCTCCCCACGGCCGCAGACCCTACCGCCGCGCAGCGCAACGCAACCCGCCCCACCGGCCGGGGCCCCACCGCCCCGCCCCCCGCGGCCCGGAGGCCAATCGAAACGCGGCTCTCCACCCCTTCCAGCCCGCCGACCAATGAGGAGTCGAGGCGGCGGCGCGGCGGAGCCAGCAGGCTAGGCGGAGCGGCGGGCCGCACCACCGCGGGGCGCGGGGCCAGGTGGGCGGGGCTGAACCATTCTGCTAGGACGGAGGGGGGGAACAGGTGGGGCCGAACCATTCCCAACGTGCCGGGGGGGGGGGCGCGGCACGGGGCTTCGAAGCGCTGGGACGGGCAGGGCGTCGAGCCGTCGAGCCCGGGCCGTGTGGGGCTGCGGCTGCGGCCCGCGCTGGGTCCGAGGCCTTTCCTACCCCACTGCGAGGAGGACCGGCAGCAGGGAGAACCGGGCCCAGTTGGCAGCGACCCCAACCCTGCGGGCCTCGGGTCCGTGGCTGCCATCCGAGGGGCACCGTGAGCTCTGCCTGAGGCCCCGCCCGGGCCGTGAGGGGCTGCGCCGGGCTGGGAGCTCCGTGCCGTGTGCGGGGCTGTGGGGCAGGGCGAGGAGCTGACATCCGTGGGCACGGCGCTGTGCGACAGCAGCGCGCAGCTTCAGTTAGGATGTCACCGTTCAGGGGCAAGGCTCTGTGGGAAGCACAGCGTCTTCACTGCCGGGCGGTGCTCGCGGGATGCTCGTGGAGTCTGTGGGCGCCCGGCGTGGGGCCTCACGGCTGCTGCTGGTATTGTCCCTCGGTGGCGGTGAAGAAGTCCTCCAGCACGCTCTTCATGTACTCGAAGGTGGGCCGCTCCTCGGGCTGCTCCTTCCAGCACTGCATCATCAGTTCGTACAGCTCCCGCGGGCAGTTGTCTGGCTGGGGCATGCGGTAGCCGCGCTCCAGGTTCTGGATCACCTCGGGGTTGGTCATCCCTGCCAGGGGACGGCATGAGTGGCACTGGATTTACATCGGCCCGTCTTGAGGGAGCGCCCTGCCTTTGTGAACCCCGGAGGAAACCTTCCTCCGCCCCCCAGCCTCAGCCTCTGGGACCCCCCCACCCGCTGTGGGTTTTGGGCTTGGCTGGCCACGTGCAATGAGAAGAGCTCAGGACCATCGCGGGCTGGCAGGCAGCGGGGCCGGGCGGAGCCTGTGTGCGTGCAGGAGTGCATGCACACACGGGTGGGTGTGCGCCTGCGTGCGTGTGAGCCCTGCTGCCGTGCAGCTGCTGGGAAATCCTGACCTGGATACGGGATCCGGCCGTAGGTAACGATTTCGGTGAGCAGGATGCCGAAGGACCAGACATCAGACTTGATGGTGAACGTGCCATAATTAATAGCCTCCGGTGCCGTCCACTTAATGGGGAATTTAGCCCCTGAAAAACAGCAGGAGGGGAAGAATAAGCGTTACGTGTCATCCCTCTGTTGAACCCGATGTGCCAGCACAGCGAGCCTTTGTCCTTGCTGCACGCTGGGTTTGGCTCCGCGTGCCTGTTCCTGCCGCAGCCACCAGGCAGGGCTGTGACCCCACCAGCGGCAGGGCCGGGTGGGCTCTGGCAGCCCCCTCGTGGCTGGGGGCAGTGATTTGGGGCGGGCGGGGCACGCAGGCTGCCGGCAGGCTGGACGCACCTTCTCGTGCTGTGTACTCGTTGTCCTCAATGAGGCGCGCCAGCCCGAAGTCGGCGATTTTGCAGCACAGAGCCTCCGATACCAGGATGTTGGCAGCCCGCAGGTCGCGGTGTATGTAGTTCTTGGCTTCGATGAAGGCCATGCCTTCGGCAATCTGCAGATCAAAATAATCGTAATAATCACACTTAATAGGTGGAGCAGGAAAGCCCCAGCAGCCCCCCGCTGTGGCCCTGTGCCCCTCTCACCTGTGCAGCCATGTCCAGCAGTTTGTTGATGCTGAGCTTGATGCCCTCTGAGGTCTTGAGGAAGTCCACCAGGCTGCCTGCAGTGAAGGCAGCAGGTCTCAGAGAGCCCCAGGGTGGGACCCAGCATGGGACTGGGGGCTCACAGACGTTGGAGGGTGGAAGGGAGCAGGAGATCACACTGCCTGCCAGGCCCCTGTCCCACTAGGGCTGACCCCAGGGTCTCAGAGTCATGGTGCAGGCATCACTATCACAGCCAGGTATTGGCACAGGCCAATGGAAGTGCTGGGGTCACCATCCCCAGAGGTGCTCAAGAACTACGGAGATGAGGCAGTGAGGGATGTGGTTAGTGGGCATGGGTTGGGGTTGGACTCGGTTGTCTTAGAGGTATTCTCTAGATTGAATGATTCAGTTATCCTACCCGGACGTCCTCACCCTTCTCCATGTACTCTGTGATGATGTAGATGGGCTCCTTGGTCACCACGGCATAGAGCCGCACCAGCCGTGGGTGCTGCAGGTTCTTCATCAGGTTGGCCTCTGCCAGGAAGGCGCTGGGGGACATGCTGCCCTGCTTCAGGTTCTTGATGGCTACCTTGGTGTGGCCATTGTAGAAACCTGCGAGGAGATGGAGCAGCTTGTGATGTAGGAGAAGGACCCACAGTGGGTAGGTAGCAGTAACATGGTGGGGTGGTGGAGGAGGCAGGGGAGAGGGCTGCATCTGTCTGCCCAGAGCATCCCAACCTAAAACTGCATGAGGAAGATCCTTGCAAAAAGCCAAAGTTGCACTGGACTTGTGCTGGCCTGGCTGCTCCTGTTGACCCGAGGATGCTGTGGGTCCGGGCTGCTGCTGCGCACAGCAGTGCCCTCATTGGGAGGAAGCACCCCGCTTTCACCCCGACTCACCCATCCAGACTTCTCCAAACTGCCCGGCTCCCAGCTTCTCCACCAGCTTCAGTGACTCTCGTGGCACCTCCCACTCATCCTGCCACCACGGCTTCTGCGGCTTCTGTGTCCGGCAGGGCTTGCCGAGGCGAGTGCACAGCCCATCTGAGCTGCCTGCAGCACAGGGAAGGCAGAGCCGGTGTCAGCGGCATGAGCTGCACCTGGGCGCAGGTAGCGGGGCGCCCTTCTCCTCCCAGCCCACCCCATCCCCGTATCCATCCTGCAGGCAGGACCGGCTGCTGACAGTGCGTACTTGAGTAATACTCCACCAGCTCGTGCAGGCTGCTGAAGGTGACCCGCGGAGAGATGTAGTACCCGCCGTTGTCCATGTTGCGAATCTTGTAGTGCTTCACCGTCTCGCCCTGGTTCTGATCGAAGTCCCTCACTGACAGCGAGTAGGAGCCTGGGGGAAGCGCACAGGTTGTTGGGTCCCGGCTCTCTGTGCACCCTGCAGTGCAGGAGGAGCCATCAGGGCTGCACTGATACCTTTGGAGGTCTCGCTCTCCCGGATGAGGAAGGAGCCATGCGTGTTGCCCGACGCCAGCAGCTGCCGCTCCGCATCCTTGCGGCTGATGTTCTTGAAGAACCACCTGAGGACAAGGGGCAGGGTGAGGGCTGGGGGCTCTCCTATCTTCCTGCTGCTCTGGCACGGCTCCGTGCAGCCCCTCGGCTCTACTCACGGCTCCGGCTCCAGGCTGTTCACCATGGCCACGAAGTTGTGGGGGATCAAACCCTCCTGGCCTGTGGTGAGCGACTGCGCCTTCCACCACTCCCCGCTCCTGCAAGGACACGGCCCTGTGAGCCCTGAGCCCCTCTGAGCTGGGACCCCTGGCCAAGGGACACGGGGACACGGGGACATTGTCAGTGCTCACTCACTCTTCCAGGACGCGCAGCTTCTCGCCCTGCTTAAGTCCCAGGTCCCCGTCATGAGTGGGTTCATAGTCATACAGGGCCACCACGAGCTTGTCTGGGGAGAGCGCGGGGTCAGGGTGGAGGTGGCCATGAGGGACACCCAGCAGCCCCCCCGTGGCCGGGCTGTACCTTGGAGTGGGGAGCACGGCGGAGACGTGGCCTCGTAGGACACCAGGGGATCCCGCACCTCAGAGCCGTTGCGGATCAGCTGTTGTGAGGGAAGGGGGGGCCATGAGTGCAGTCCCCACATCCCCTCCTGCCACCAAGGGCTTGGCCATCCCTCACCACCCCGGCTGTCCTGTGGCTGCCCCCTCACCTGGCGCTTGCTGTCGGGGTCGATGGGGTAGTTGCAGTGCTCGCAGATGTCGATGTTCTCAATCCAGTCCTCATCATAGTCTGAGCTGCAGCAGCAGCCCATGGTGGCTATGGAGGGCAGTGAGAGAAGCCTTCATCCCCTCCCCGGCCCCATTGTCCCCATCCCCACATTTATCCACCTCATCTCTGCAGCCATTCATTCATCCCATTTAGCACATCCATCCATCTGTCCATCCATCCCTCCATCCCATCCCTGCATCCGTCTCTCTTACTCATGCTGTCACACAGCCCTTCCTGCACATTCTGAATGGCATCCCCTGACTCCATCACCAGCCATATTTCCTCCTGCCTTTGTCCTGGCTGCGTTAATTAAGAGCACAGAAGGTGATGAGTGCCAGGACACCCACCTCAAACACTGACCCTGGTGCCACAAGTGGGTGGAGGGAGCCTTCTTCCCATTGCGTGGCTCTAACCTTCCCATGAAAGCTGATGGAGCCCCGGTGCTGAGACACGCAAGCAGTGGCCCACAGCCCTGGAAAATGCTTTTCTGCAGAATCCCCACGCCCACACCACCAGGATCCGTCCCCACGCAGGCATGGCCCCAGCCCGCGTCCCCAGCCCGTGCTCAAGTGCCCTGCGCATTTCTGCCTTGCTGGCAGTGATTGTCTTATATCGGTGTCACTCTTTTCTCCTCTGTCATCTTCATCTCGGGGGGATGTGGCGTCCCCTGGGTGCCTCCAGATCCTTCAGCCACTGAGCACACCCCAAACCCGTGCACAGGAACTGGGAGCACCCCGCGCTCATCACCCCACAGTGGGGACAGCACCGCAATGGCAGTGCCGCCCTCCTGCTGTCCCCAGGGTGCCACCTCAGAGTGCCCACCACCACCATGGCCGATGCGAGCAGAGGCTGTGGGGAGGGAAGGGCACTGAGCCCCCCTGTGCCATGATTTGGGCCCTGGTGCCGCGCTTCTGCCTGCTCTGCTTTGAAAACGCCCCTGGAGCAGCTCGGCCACGGCCCCAGGGAGCGGGGACAGCAATGGCACCGTGGGGACAAAGCTCGGAGCTGAGCAAAACCCAACCCCACGGACACAGAGCCTCCATGCTCCCAGCATGCGCGTGGCACTTCAAATGCACATCCACCGCAGCAGAGGGACCTGGGAGGTGTTTTTTCCTCTCTGCAAGAAGCCGGGGTGCGGAGGGAGGTGCTGCTATTGTGTCTTTTTCTCTGATGTACTCAAGCCACAGCATAATTTCCACCAAGCAACCGTTCCACCTGCTCAGTGCGAGGGCCGCGCTGCGTCGGGGTGTTTGAAGTCAGGTTTTGTGACTGCATCTGTGCAAACGAATTTCTGCACGAAGGCTGCATGCAAGCACTGCGCACACAGCTCGGTGTCCCCCGCACGGTGCTGCATGGCACAGCTGTCACACTTTGCTCCTGCCGCTCCTGCAGGCCCTTCACATGAGCACCTCCGGCCGATGGCGCTTGGTCAGTGTGTGAGCGGGGCTGAGGTTGAGCTGACCCCATTCCTGGCCCCATGTGATCCAGCTGGACGCCGTGCAGAGCCAGCAGGGCAGGGCCGCCCCACGCCGCCATCGTGGCACGGAGATGTTTGCACCAAAACAGCACCGAAGCCAGACACATCTCAGTGCTTGAAACCATCCGCGATGGGATGCTGATGGACCAGCACTGAACTGCTGCTCTCATCCACAGACGGGTGAGGGCCTGGCACAAATCTCCCCCTTTGCCCCACAAACAGGGACCGGCTGCCCTGGCATCAGAGTGGCTGCTATCCCCCAGCACGGGGAGCTCCCACCTGTGCCTCCCAGCTGCCCAAGCACCATCACTCCCAGCCCCGCTGCGGTGAGCCCCTGTTGCCACCCACCCCCAGAGCACCATCAGTGAGCACAGCGTGCACCTGCCCAGCAGCGCTGGCTGCAGAACTCCATCCCAACCCCGTTACCTGTGGGCAGCACAACGAGGACCGGCTCTCTCAGACTCCCATGGCTGTGCAGCAGCAATGGTCCCTTCTCACGTCCTCCCCATGGCCGTGGGCTCACGCTGACCCACGGCAGCGCAGCTGAGCCCCCCGCACACGGGCGCACTCCCCACCGCTGTTCGCTCTTGCTCGCTGCCTGCCCCGGTTTCCTGCCTCCTGAGCAAACTCTAGAGGAGCTGGTTCACAGCTCGCGCACGACCGCAAGCACTGGTGACAAACCCTGAGGCTTCCTGCCATCCCCAGCTGGGCTGCGCACCGAGGTCCTGCTCCAGGTGCCCTCAGCCCTGGGATTGGGTGGGTTGGGGGCACCGAGCCCCTTGACTGTGGTGGAGTGGGGACATACAACAGGCCACGTGCTGTGTGGGGGCAGTGATGGGTGCGACGCTGTCACCCAAAGGGCTGCAAAACCCCCTGGTCCCTTTACAGCCCCCTTTCCAAAGCTCAGTGCTGTGGGATCGCAGTGGCAGCTCTGGTTGTGCCGTACCCCACCAGACCCTGTTGGGCTGTGTGACACCTCCTGCACCCACAGCCCCGCTTTGGCCATCACCACCACACCCCCAAGCCTCAGTACCCCAAGAGCCACAGTGACAGCTGACATGGGGACAGACTGGAGGGGACGCGTCGTGCCCAGGCCGTGCTGTGCCACCAGCCCTGGGTTTTTGGAGACTTTTGGAGACTCAGCTCTGAGCAGCGCAACCACAGCGCTATTGTCTCGGCTTTCACGATCAAAGGCAAAGCCGCAGGTTCCCACCAGCTGCTCTGCAGTGGCGCAGGCAGAACGCCAAGCTGTGCCGGGGGGGCACCCAGTGCTGCACCCACCCTTATGGGGACATTCCTCAGCCCCACGTCCAGTGCGTTCCCCAGCACCACGGGTGTCCCTGGGCAAGGGCTCACTGCCATTCCTTGCCATGTGCCGCAGGCTCGGGGGCTCGTGCAGCTCTCCCTGCTCCCTCCTAGTGTCCCAGAACCCAGAATGGTCCCTTGATCCCACAGCTTCCTGGGTCACCCCGTATCTCCCCTGGGCAGCACTTGCAAAACGTGCTCTGTCACATGCTGAGAGCGGCAGCTCCTTTGGCAAAGGGTTTGGCGTAAACAGGGGAAGGGGGAAAATGGAAAAGCAAATCCCTGCAGCAAGGACAGCCATAGGTAGAGCCTCCACCCCTCCTGCACCGGGGTGGGAGTGGGGCAGTGAGGGGCTGCTGAGCACTGAGCACAGCCCCCAGCACCTCCAGGCCCCACGACCCATGCAGCTGTTGGTGATGAGCACTTCCTGCAGCAGCGCAGCCCCTGCACCCACCGTGGCCGGGTGCGTGGGGAGGGGCTGGCAGTGGGTTCCTCACAGCACAGACCCTTTTACCCTGGTACGGATTCGTCCCAAAGCAGGAACTACTGAAAAAACCAGCCCAAGGGGCAGAGTTGGGAGCGGGTGCCCTCCTGGCACCCCAAGGGGTTGGGAACACCGCTGGAGGCGCAGGCGGGCACTGGGCTGTGCACAGCAGGAAGTGCTCCTTCTCATCATCGCCTGCTTTTATTCCTCCTCCAAGTGCTGCTCCCCTCATCCTCCCGTGTCTGACCCCCACCACACACGGCTGCTCCATGGGGATGGCACATTTCCCGTGGCACAAACACGAGAGAGTTCAGGCCTGAGCCGATGTCCCTGCAGCACTTTGGGGCACCTATGAGCCCCTCTCACCCCCCAGGTGCACCCATGGGTGCCCGCAGGTCCCTGCTGCTCTCAGCAGAGGGAGAAGCGCCGGGAGTTGATGTTCATGCGGGTGACACCGATGTGCTTGAGCGGCATGGAGAGCAGGAAGGCGGCCTTGGGTGGGATGGTGCAGAGCAGATCCGAGTCCTCCTCGCAGCCCTCGAGGCCGAAGGTGGCATCGTCCAGCATCTCCTTGTGCCGGTGACAGACCTGCTCCACCTTCAGCCGGTTCAGCTGTGCCCGCAGGCGCATCAGCTGCTGTGCCAAGCGTTGGTCTGCAGCCTGCAGCTCCTGCTGTGGGAGAATGGAGCTGTCAGCAGCCGACAGAGGCTCAGCGCCAGCAGTGCTGCTGGAGCAGCAGGGCTCGGTGACAGACCCTCAGGGAATCAGGAATACGTGGTGCTGGGATCAGCACAGAGCCCATGTGCAGCACAGGCCAACATGGGGACTGCGACCTGCTCACGTAAGTTTGCACCCATGACGCTGTTACTGCCTGCACAGAGCAGCAGGAAGGGGTGACAAATAGAGAGCCACAACCCACAGCTCTGGGCAGGACAAGAGGTCAGAGCTGCAGCACCGGGCAAAACCCCACAACCAGTGGCCGTGCTGGTGCAGGAGCAGAGCTCCGAGCTGCAGCGGGAGCAGCCCCAGCAGCTCCCTTGTGGGGTCAGGCACCATCCCTCCGTGCCCCTCAGCATTACTCACCAGCTCCGTCCTGAGCCACTCCAGAGCCTCCTCCATACCAGGGAACCCACAGACGCTGCCATCCTGCTCGGCCCTGGGCTGCCCCGAGGTTCCCTTTGCCCCCCGTGGGGTCGGCCTGCCCCAGGGCTGCCCCCGCACCCGTGCCTCCCACTCCAGGTAGGAAGGGCGGCGGGTCTGCAGCTTCAGTTTGGCTGTCAGTGCCTTGACCCCAGCCAGGCTCTCCTCGCCTGCAGTTGGCTCCTCTGCACCCAGCTCAGAGAAATTCACCTGGCCCAGGGGCATGGCTGCAGCCCAGATCCCAAACCCGAGATCCCAAATCTCCAATTCCAGCTCCCGGACCTTGGAGCCCAAATCCCAGCACGCCGAGGAACACCCACCGCAGCTGTGCCGAGTGCCGCCTATTTATCTACCCCCAGAACAATGAAGGTTGGGGATAATTATAACGGGCAGGAACTTGGCTTATCCAGAGGAGTGCAAAGAAGTTGTTTTTTGTTGCTTCTTTTCCCCCCTTTTCTTTCCTTTTTGAGCACCGCTGTCTCCGGTTGGGAGGCGGCTCCGCGTCCTCCCGGAGGAAGCGCGGTGAGGACGCGGTGTCGCGGTGCCCTCCCGCTATCGGCGCTGCGTGACACACCGACTTCCCGTCCGGGCCCCGGGCTGCTAAAAAAAGGGCGAAGGAAGGGAAGCGAGCAGCTCCGCGTGTCGACGGGGCGGAGAGCGGGGGCCGCGCGGTGGCGGTGGGCGCCGACAGCTGCGGGACGGCTGTGCGCTGCGGGCCTTAAGGTGGAACCTGGGGGTGCGGCGGCCGGCGGGCAGAGCGCGGCCAGGAGCCCCTCGAGCCCCGCTGCCGTCCCGTGACCCCGCGCGGCCCCGCTTGCTCCCAGCGCGGGGCTGCAAACCCGCGTGCTCCCCGCTGTGCCCCCCCCCCCCCGCGTGTCCTGGTCTGCGCCCCCCCCCCCCCTTACCCCCCCCCCCCCCCGGCTCCGTTCCTGCGCGGCCCCGCACCCCGCGTGCCCCCCGTTTGCCCCCCGCCCGTCGCCCGCCGGAGCCGCGGATCCACGGGCGGGGGTGGGTGGGGGGACTGGGGGGCATCGTGCGAGCCGCTCACCGCCCCCTCCTCCTCCTCCTCTCTTCTTCCTCCTCCTCCTCTTTCTCCCCTCTTCCTCCTCCTCCTCCCGCCCCACAGAACAGAGCCGATGTGAGGCGGCAGCCGCCCCGAACTCCCCCTAAGTGCCCCCCGACCCCCCCAGCCCGCACCGGGCGCGGCGTCCCGGCACGCACAGCCCCCCGAGCCCCGCGGGTTTCTGCCTCAGTTTCCCCACTGCGGTGACAGCAGTGCCGGGGAGGAAACCAGCGCAGCTCTGCAGGGAGGAAGCGGCATAGGCTTTAGGTGACGACGCGAACGGGACGGGGGAGGCTGCGCTGCGGGGAGGGACGGGGGGGGGGGGTTCCAGCCGGGCTGTGCCGCTCAGGATTTCCCCTTTCTCCCTCCAGCACCGCCATGGAGTTCTCCGAGCTGATCAAAACGGCGACGGTGGAGAGCGTGCTGCTGTCGTGCGCGGGGCAGCCGGCGGTGAAGGGCACTCTGTGCATCACCAGCCACCACCTGCTGCTCTCCTCCTGCCCCGGCGGCGAAGGGCAGCCCAGCGCCGTGGAGCTCTGGCTGCTCATCCGCAACGTGGACGCCGTGGAGAAGAGGTCGGTCCTTTCCCACCGCCCTGTGCCCCCTCGGTGGGGATGATCCCCCGCTGCCCTCCCGGCACCACGGAGCCTCCTCCCTCCTCTTCCCCGCGGCTCGTGGCAGTGGGCATTGACCTCCTCTTCTCCTCCGTGCCCCAGAGTGCAGAATGTAGGCTGGTATCAGCCACCCCGCAGCGGCGGCTCCCCGCGGGACAACAGGTTTGGCTTTAGGTGCTCTCAGCTTCTCCGGCTTGCCCTGCAGTGCCCGGCCTCACGCAGCTCTGTGGGGCAAGAATGGCTGCTCCGAGGGGAGCTGGTGGGAGTCACAGCTTCAGGCACACCGGGAGCCCCATGCAGTTCTGTGCCCTTCTCAGCCCCCCCCGGACAGAGGGCAGCTCTGTGCTGTCTGCGTGCACGGCCCCTCCTGCCCTGACCCCACTGCCCTCCCCAGGCTGGCCGGCTCCTCCGGCACCATCACGCTGCGCTGCAAGGACCTGAAGGTGCTGCAGCTGGAGATCCCGGGCATGGAGGAGTGCCTGAACATCGCCAGCTCCATCGAGGTGAGCCGTGCCGGGATGCAAAGGGTTGGCAGGAGCAGGTGGCTGCCCACGGTGTTTGCTCTGGGTCTGTCATTAACGTGAGTAAACACTCAGCTGCTGGGCTGTGTTTGCACGGGGCACCCGAGGTGCCAAGCCCTGTGGGAGGGAGCAAGGATGGGGTTTGCAGAGAGGACGTTCCCTGCCCTTCCCCCAGCTCTGCTCTGCTGCAGGCCCTTTCCTCGGTGGACTCGGTGATGATGATGTATCCCTTCTTCCACCGGCCTCAGAGCCTGCGGCTGGAGGAGGGCTGGCCGCGGCTCCCCACGGAGCGGCACTTCCAGCAAATCGCCACGCAGGTGGGCCTTGGGGCAGGGGGTGGTGTCACATCTCACCCGTACGGGGAGGGAGGGGGTGACCGGATTGGTCCTTTACACCTGGGGGGGGGGGGGGGGGGAGGCAGCCCCCCCTCCCACCTTCGCATCTTCCCCAGACCACCCAGTGGCGGCTGAGTGACGTGAACCAGGACTTCGCCGTCTGCCCCACGTACCCTCCGGCTGTCATCGTGCCGGCGGCCGTGAGCGAGGAGACCCTGCGGAGGGCAGCCCGGTTCCGTCAGGGCGGGCGCTTCCCCGTCCTCAGCTACTATCACACCAGGAACGGCACCGTGAGTCCGCATCCCCGCCCCGTCCCCGCGCCTCCCACCCCGATGCCCCGCAGGCGATGCCCGCAGCCCCCTCCCCGCAGGTGATGCTCCGCAGCGGGCAGCCGCTGACCGGCCCCAACCGCAAGCGCTGCCCCGAGGATGAGATGCTGCTGGGGTCGGTGCTGGACGAGGGCGAGCGGGGCTTCATCATCGACACGCGCTCAGCCCAGACGGCCAAACAGGCGCGGATGACGGGAGGTGGCACGGAGCCCAAATCCTCGTACCCGCAGTGGAAGAGGCTGCATCGGCCGCTGGAGCGGTGAGGGCTGTGCTGAAGTTCTCCGCTCCAGCCCCAGAAGCAGACTCGCAGCCCTCACCAGGCCGTCCTTCCCTTCTCCTCCTCCCTCCCCAGTGGCCGCCCGCTGCAGGAGAGTTTCATCAAGCTGGTGGAGGCCTGCAACGACGCTTCGCTGGGCATGGACCGCTGGCTGGGCCGGCTGGAGAGCTGCCGCTGGCTGAGCCACGTTAAGGCAGCCCTCAGCACGGCCTGTTTGGCTGCGCAGTGCCTGGACAGGTAGGGGGCTGCCCCCCACATCCCTCCCCTCCCCCTGAGGCCAATGCAGAGTGCAGCAGGCAGTGCCCTGACTGTGCCCCCAGGGAGGAGAGCTGCGTGCTGGTGCACGGAGCAGAGGGCACAGACACCACGCTGCTGGTGACAGCGCTGGCACAGGTGATCCTGGATCCAGGCTGCCGCACGCTGAAGGGCTTCCAGGACCTGCTGGAAAGAGAGTGGATCCAGGTGAGGAGCAGAAGGAACTGAGGCGGGGGTCCCGTGGTCCCCTGCAGCCCTGTTACCACTGCCATGGGGTCCTGCAGGCTGGCCATCCCTTCCACCTGCGCTGCGCCCGCTCTGCCTACTCACACGCGCGGCTGAAGCAGGAGGCACCACTCTTCCTCCTCTTCCTCGACTGCGTGTGGCAGCTGAGCCGGCAGTTCCCCTTCTCGCTGGAGTTCAGCGAGGGGCTGCTCCTCACCCTCTTTGACAACGCCTACGCCTCCGACTACGGCACTTTCCTCTGCAACAATGAGAAGGAGAGGCAAGTGGCAGGGAGTGGGGACAGCAGTGCCCCGTGAGCATTGTGCCCCAGAGCAGCCCCTGGCCTGCAGGCACAGACCCCTGGGTCACCATCCCGGGTCAGTCCCAGGGACTGAAGCGCATCTCTGTGCTCCTGCAGGTGTCTGTGCAAAGTGAAGGAGAGCACGCACTCCCTCTGGGCCTGGCTGGACCAGCCTGAGGAGAGGAAGAAGTGCCTGAACCCCCTCTACTCGCCCAACCCGCTGGTCATCTGGCCCTCAGTGGAGCCCCAGAGCATCCAGCTGTGGCAGGGTATGGCGGGTGCAGCCCTTGGGCTTTCGGAACCCATCTGGGTCGCATGCAGTAGCTCTGCACGCTTGTCCCTCCTGCAGCAGGACACGGCCGAGGTGACGCAGCCCCTTGTCCCCTAGGCTTGTTCTTTCGCTGGATCCGCTCGTCCCAGTACCTGGATGAGGCGTGGGCAGAAATCTGGCGGTTGGTGGAGGGCAGCGACACGGCTGTCAAGGAGAGCGCAGAGGACAGACTGAGCCGCTCGCTGTCTGACCCGGCTGCCCGGCTGGAGAATGAAAGATGAGCGGCAGCGCGAGCAGCGCGTCCTGGAGATCATCCCCCATCGCCAGGGCTGAGGCACCAAGGCCGTGCTGCAGCTCTGCAGGAAGCGCTGTGCGGGACGCACGCCCTGCAGGGCCCAGAGGAGCCTGCGCATAGCAGAGCTGTGGGGACATCGCTGGGAGAGGGGGACGGACTGCAGCTTCCTGTCAGCCACGCAGCCCGAGCACATCACAGTAAAGCGGTCTCTCTCAGTTTGCTCCTGCTTTCCATGTGTGTTCTGTGGCCAGAGCTGGGCTGTTTCTGCTCTGTTGCCCAGTGGGATTTCAGCAGCTCTCGTACCTGGACCTGGCAGCAGGACGCCCACGTGCCCAGCAGCTCTTGCTGCCATGTATCTGGCCCGCAGGCCCTGCCCTGTGCCCAAGCTGTGGTTGGCACAGCAAAATCTAAGAAGCAGAACACGCTGAGCTCACACCAGCCTCTCCACCAAGGGCGTGCTGGCTGCAGGTTGTGTTACATCAGTCGCTCCGAGCTGGAAGCCAGCCTGGGAGATCTGCCCTTGAACCCAGTTTAAGGAAGGAAGGACAGAAACCACCCCTCCAGCCAGCAAGACAGAGGGACGGGGTCTGGAAGGATGAGGATTTGCAACACAACCCTCCTAGTGCAGGAAATAACTGTTCCATGAGGAAAGTTGGCTGAGGGTCAGTCCAGCAAATAAACAAAGCACTTGAACTGAGCGCACGTCGTCCGGGAAACAATGACTGGCAACTCTATTTGCAGGCTGTTTGCAGATCCAGCACTGCTAGGTCTGGACTTCAACAATAGCTGCACCTCAACCCTGGGAAGAGTTAACTGTGCCTGGGTGAGGACAGAGGCACAGGGAGCACCAGCACTGCTGTCTGCTGCTAGGCAGAGAGCAAGACACTGACACCAGAGCAGGCAAAGCAAAACAGTCGTGTTAATTCTGTCCCAGACCAGAAGAAGAGAGGCACTTTTCCTTGTGTTCAGACAAAATTTATTTCTTGCTTTTTTTCTTTTTTTTTTTCCTCCACTGATATATAAATAAACCCAGCAGGTCAGGAAGTTAGCATCCCCAGGGGCAGGCAGGCAGCCAACTCAACTCCTTTTAGGCCACTCGTGCCGTTTTGAGCTGGGTGGGTTTCCAGATTCCCACCTTCACACGACCCCTGAGTTTGGTGCTGCTTCCTGCTGCCTCCTGTGGAGCAGATTAACTTCAGGTCTTACAACAGTTCTGCACTGGAGCCAATGGACTGTGCAATGGGTTGGAAGAGGAAAGAAGAGAATTCATCCTCCTTTAAGCTTCAAACTCAAACTCGAAGTACTGGGGATCAAAATAATGGATGCGGACGTAGCCATCTTCACCACCACTGCTGTAACTGAGGGGAGAAAAGACAGGAAAGTCACCGATCCTGTCAGGAACTCACCGTGTGCAGATTTAAACCAGCAAGAGATAGAATCCAAAAGCTAATAAGAACATTAGCCAAGATGCACAGCCAGGCATCAAAGACCCCCACAGGCAGAGAGATGGGGGGCAAAAGGGGCGGAATGGCAGAATTCAGGGAGGTGCAGGCTCCATTCCCCCTGCAGTTCTGAGGGAATCCAGCCATATCCTCCCCAGACACAGACCATTCAGTGTGAAGGAAGACGCACAGAGATCCTCACCTCTTCCCATCAGGGTGAAAAGCAACACTGTTTATCGGACCAAAATGACCCTTCACTCTGCCAAACTCTTCTTCAAAAGCCAAGTGGAAGAACCTGGGAGAAGTGGGGAGGCAGGTTGGGGACAGGATCAAAGTTTCCCCAGAGAACCTCTGCAATTTAATAACTCTCCAAACACTGCCGAGAACGAGATGCTCTGGGCACAGCAGAGCACCCCAAGTGCAGACTCAGCCCTGCCAGAGAAGAGCACCAACCTTGCCTCAAATTTGCCAATCCTGGTGGAGGTCGTGGTCACATCCATGGCTTCCTGCCCCCCACCAAGCACGACCTGCAAAGAAGAAAAGCCACCGCAGTGCTGCTTACAGCGCATGCGAAACAACAGGCAGGGCAGGAGGGCAGGAGGGAGCCCAGCCTTGGGGGAGCCTCCCACCACCACAGCACAGCCCACGGCAGCAGTGAAGCCCCCCAGCCCAGTCCCACAGTCATTGTTTCGCTCAGGCTGAACTGGTGACACCAGGCCTTCCAGCTGCCTAAGGCAACGCAGGAGCTGCACCAAAGCTGTTGGAATGAGTGGCTCATTCTTACGTGATCAAAAATGGGGGAGAGTGCAGCAGAGTTCACCGGCCGCTCTGTCCGGAATGTCTTCAGGTGTTCCAGTGTTGTGCAGTCAAAGAGCTAAAATGCAAAAGGCAGAGAACAGCAGTCCAAGTAACGCATGCAAATCCCAGCCCCTGGCCGCCAGTCCTCACACGACAGTCACTCCCAGGCATCCAAATCCCAAAGACATTTCTGCAGGATCCCAAAATGTACCCCCAAGGTAATTCTCACCTCTATCACCTTCTGGAAGCGCTAATAAGCAGCCTTTGTTTGTACAACTTTGTTTCCAGTGCCTGGCTGCTAACTGAACAGCTGATGCCTCCCCATTCCCAATGAACCCTGCCACTAAGCTTTGGCTTTAGTGCTCAAATTCCCAAAGAGAAACCACTGGGGCAGCCACGACTTTGAGCAGGGCTCCTGCAAGCAGATGTCAGCAATGCACCGCAGCCCCACAGGAGGCCTCACCTTGGCAGTGTTATCCTTGGAGGCAGTGATGAACATGGTCATGTCCCTGGAGGTCTGAATGTCATTGATTTGCTTGGTGTGCTCCTTGATGTTTGAAAGCTGCTCCCCTGACTGAAGGGTAAACAAGGCAGTTTCAGTGAGCTGGCAAGCAAAGCGAGCTTCTCTGCTAGAAATGATTTTAGATGTTGCTGTCAGCAGAAAGGGAGGCATGTGCATGTTTAGCTTTGCTGAAGAGAGCCACATATTTTAACTATCCTTCCACGAGGCCACTGGTTTGAGCCAAAAAGCCCACGTTCTGCCCTGTGATCACAACAGAAAACTGTAATATCCTCTCCCAAGCGATGCTGCCTGAGGCTCCTCCTTGTCACACTGACCTTGGCACTGAACTGGTTTAGCTCCCCACTCTCATGTCCTGCGATGATGAATTCTCCCAAAGGGCCCCACACAGCACTGGTGATTTTAGAGTCACTGCAGGGGATTTTCATGTAAGGCTCGTTGTTCTCTGAAGGAAGGAAGGATGGAGACAGACAGACTGAGTGGCACCAGCTCTCGGCAGCCAACACTTCCCCTGATTCCCAGTCGCAGCCATGGGCCCAGATTCCTCACCGATCTGGCTGGGGTCACGCAGGTCAAAGAAGCTCACAAAGCACTGATAACCCATCTGCTTGTCCGTTGAAAACATGATGATGTTTCCTCCAAAGTCAAAGCCACACGTCCTCACTGCCGAGCTGGTCTTCACCAGGGCAAGCTGCTTTCCTGAACACAGAGCAGAAACCAGCACTTCACTTGGCCTTGCATTGCAAAATTAATGAAAGTGATCAAATAAAAGCCCAGTCACAGCAAGGACAGCAGCATCAGACAGAGCTGACAAACAGGTTGGGTGACTGGAAGGCACTGAACACTGTGCTTGGGCAGCAAGGTGAGTGAACTGATCAAGTGTTCACAGAAAATTAGGCAAATACCCAAACAGCCAAGAAAGGACTCAGAGCTCTTTTGCTCTCAGGGGGCAAACAGGCACACGCTGCACACAGATTCCAGAACAGGGCAGAGCTGCGAGTCAGACACAGCCACGTGGAGAAGAGCCTTACCTGTTTCACAGTCCCAGAGCCGACAGCTGTTATCTGCAGAGCCAGTGAGCACATGTCGTGTGTCCCCTTGGTCAGCAGTTAGGGAATACCAGCATGTTTGAGCCCCAGTTAGCTAGGTACCCAGGCAGTAGTTTTACACAAGATTAAAAAGCTGTGTTACACTGAGAAAATATAGGGCTTGGGTAACGTCCATTACAGGAGTGGCAATACTCCCATACAGGCAGCAAGTTCAAGTGCTCCTTGAACAAAAAAACACAACTTTCTTTTTGGGAAGACAAAGAAAAAGACTCCTGCTCTTGTCTTGGCACAACCTTTGCATGTTTTCATCTCCGCCACCTCCTGCTCACCTTGGAAAAGGAAAACTTCTGCTCTCAGACACCTTTTTTGTGCTCCCAGGGCCACCTTCACAAAAGCAATGAAGCACAAACGGGAGCAGGTGGGATGTGCAGCACACATCGTTCCAAACAACAGGAAGTGAAAGGAGCACACACACCAAGAGACGGCATAAGGGGAAATTAAACGTGCTGTGTGCTGCTGCGCTCACCACACCACAGCAGCTGAAAGAAACCATCGGTGCTGAATCACCCTAAGGAACAAGGAGGACAAACTGGTTTCACCGTTCAAAGGATACAGTCTGCATCCACGCACCACACGGCTCCTGTGTGGCCATTGTAGGTGCCCAGCCTTTCTCCGTTTACCGAATACCAAACGTTGACGATCTAAGAGAAGATACAAGCGCTCAAGCACCCCTTCGCAGCGCCGACCAATTAATTAGGCTCATTAATTAACCACTGCTCCTTTCTCTCACCACTCTTCCTCCCCCATCACGCACGGGAGGGTCTGTTTCCCGGTTTCCCCCGCACGCTCAGCCATACTCACGGGATCCTTGGCCACAGTGAACAGCAGGTCTCCCTCGCGGTTGTATTTGATCTGCGTGATGGAACGCTCGTGGCCCTGCAGCAGGATCGGCTTCTGCGCGTGGGGGTGAGGAAAGACGCCATTTAACGCTCACGTCCCCGGCAGGAGCTCCTGGGCCGCTGGCTGCCAGCCGCCGTCAGCCCAGGAGCCCCGGTCGCGACCCCGCATCGCCCCACCGCCCGCACGACGCCCAGCCCGCACCGCTCCCCGTCTCACCATGGCGGCGGTGCGAGAGGAGAGAGAGGCGCACGGCACCACTTCCGGGTCAGAGGGCGCGGGAAGGCGGAAGTCCGTCGCTGTCGCTATGGCGACCGCGGGTGAGCTTCCGGGTTTGGGGAAAGGGGAGACGGGCTGAGCTGGGAAGGCCCGGGGGCTTTGGTCCTCGCTGCGGTTGCAGGAAGGGCTCGGGGGGGACGCGGGTTGGGCTGTCCGGGGGCCTTCCCTGAGGCGGGGAATGGCCGCGGGTTGGAGCCCCGGCGCTCCTTCCTGAGGCTTGCGGCCACGCAGACCCCGGGAGGGGCTTTCCTGAGAAGGGCGGTGGCCGCGGGCAGAGCCCTTCCATGAGGGGGGACGCAGCAGCAGCAGGGGCTGCTTTAAAGGGACGCGGCCGTGGATTTGGGCTGCTGCGGGACATTCCCCGAAGGGAAAACTTGGCCACGCCGTGAGGGCCCCGCGGCAGCGTGCCTGGCGTGGGGCCTTTCGGGGTGGGACGCCTGCTGCAGGCTGATGGCAGGCTGGGCCCAGGGCTGAGCTGAAGCTGTGCCGCAGGAGAGGCAGCGGTGCTGGTGCTGGTGGCCGCGCTGTGGGGCAGCACGGGGCCGTTCCTACGGACGGGAGCGGCGGGGCTGGAGGACGTGCGGCGCCAGGGCCGCCTACGGCAGCTGCTGGCCGAGATCAGCTTCCTGGGCCTCAACTACAAGGTGCGACCCCAGCTGGGCTTCTGGGCTAAGGAGGTGTCACGGGACCATTCCTTTCTGCCTCTTTCTGCACTCCATACCTTCCACCTATCAGAAAAATTATTTATGCTCTGTAACGTTTCATTTGCTCACCTGTAGCACTGCTCTTATGGAGAACTTGCTTAGATTCTTTTGAAGACAGGAGGTAATTAACCCTCATATTTTACATGAAGACCTGTCTGCCTTCTGCAAGGCTGTGAAAAGATCACGACTAGCAGGAGAATCACCAGTGGGCTGCATTTCTGCTGCCAAACACAGCACTGAGTGTGGGTCGGGGCTCCTTTGCTGCCTGCTTGCTGGAGGCAGTGCAATGGTTTTCCATGCAGTGACCAACAGATCTGTCTTCTTTCTGCAGTACATGGTGCCATTTCTGCTGAACCAGTGTGGATCTCTGCTCTTCTACCTCACCCTGGCATCTGCAGGTTAGCTTTCATTGCTGTGTTGAGTGGGTTGATCAGGATTTTGGGAGGAGCTGAATTACTGATTAGTTTGGTGTTCTGGCTAAACATCAAGTAGGTGTCAGAATGAAGGACATATCTTACCATTTTTAGAGGATTATCCATTTCAAACTGTTTGACAACTGTTTAATTTCAGAGCTGTCCCTGGCAGTGCCACTCTGTAACTCCCTGGCTCTGATAGTCACACTGGTGACTGGAAGGATTCTGGGAGAGGACATTGGTGGTAAAAGTAAGTTGCACTTGAAACCCTTTGTCGCGTTGTCTTCTGCATCTTTTTGCTATCTTAATGTTGTGTGCTCCCTTCTGGTGTCCTAAAAACCAGTGAACGCTGATACAAGTCCTGTAACCACTGCCTGTATGCAGTAGTTCTTGCAAGGAAGCTGAAAAGGAAGTGAAACTGATTGAAAGAGGGTAGGGCTAGTGAATTTAAACTGGCTGGAACTGGCTGTTGTAAACTAGCAGAACTCATAGGCCTGAGCCTTCACTTAATGATGCATTTAACCATAAGAGAAATGTCCCATAAGCCCCAAAATGTCACCACCTATCCTTCTTTATGCCCCTTACTCTACACACTAACATTATCCTGCCTAGAAAGTGGAAAAATATCAGGAAACTTGAAAGCTGAAAGACACAGGCATAGAGCATTAGCAGTAAGTACCAGTTTGGCTCGCACCCATTTAGGCCATCTTCTTTACTGGCAGCTGAGAACCACAGATGTAGCAGTGACAGGGGCTGACTGCAGGAGTTGAACTGTGTGAGTTCCCAACACAGAATGCTTATTTCTGCAGGGGCTGTGGCAGGGATGCTGCTCACCCTCCTGGGCATCACCCTCTGCGTAGCTGGTTCGTGACCAAGGCACAGTGAGCAGAGGAAACTGCTTGAAGGTGAGCCATGGCTGAAGAGGGGAGCTTCTGGCTCAGCAGCAACATGTTTGGCCTCAAGAAAGCTGTTCTGGCACATGGCTGCCTGCAGAATTCCCTGAGTACCAGAGTGGAACAAGGCATGTTGCAAGGACATCCTATTCAATGTCTTCAGTGAAGGATGATTTTTTTCTGTGGGTGGTTCAAGGCAGGGATGATTGAATTGCCTTGTTCAGCACTGGAGGGGTAATAATTGGTTAATAAATCATTGAAAGACCTTCTAGAACCATCTGATCTTTTACAGAAGGAAGTTTGTTAATACATCAAAAGCCTTGGCAAGTCTGTGGTGTAAGCAGACCTCGTACTCCCCTCTTTTGTTACCTACAGTGCAGAGAGCAGTTTACTATCTGCCCTCTCATCACAGTCCTTAACTCTTTGGAGTAGTTTTGCTGCCAAGGAAAACATCATTCAGTGCTCTTCATCTTCAGAACTGTTGTCATCCTTTTTCCCTGAGACAGCGGTTTGTGATCTGCCTGCAGTCTGTACCTTTCAGCAGCAAGAAGAAAAAACACATTTATTACAAGTCAGCTTCAAAGCTTCACCTGGCGACAGGCAAGTCCTGCCTAACAGGTGACAGCTGGGGGCACAGAATGTTAGCATAGAGATCTGAACACAGCCAGGAAGGATCTCCCACATTTCACAGAACCATTAAGTGGGATAAATGCTGTGCTGTGTCCTTCTGCCTTTTGGTATAAATTCTTCTGCAGTCTCTGCAGCTCTCTGGAAAAGGAGTAAGGACAGCTCATTGCAGCCTATCAATACCTGAAGGGAACCTACACCCACGAGGGGAGTAAACTCTTCAAAAGGGCTGACAACAGCAGGACTAGGGGAAATGGATCGAAGTTGAAGGAGGGAAGATTTAGGTTGGATGTTAGGGGGAAGTTCTATACAAGGAGAGTGGTTAGGCCCTGGAACGGGCTGCCCAGGGAGGTTGTGGATGCCCCGTCCTTGGATGTGTTTAAGGCCAGATTGGACGGGGTCCTGGGCAACCTGATCTGAATGTGTGTGTTTGGTGGCCCTGCTAGGCAGGGGGGTTGGAACTACATGATCCTTGAGGTCCCTTCCAACCCGGGTGATTCTGTGATTCTGTGACAGAAGCAGGAACCCCTCCAGGAAGTCTTTTTTGCTTACTGCAGTGGGGAGCCGTTACTCTCAATCCAGAAGGGAAACGTTCGTGACGCAGAAAACAACCTCGACTTTTTAAAACGCAGAGCCCCGCAGCAACACCCCGCCCTTCGGTTTCCGCAGTTCCCCCTGGCGGTTACTTCCAGCTTTACACACTCCAGGAGGAAGCACAGCGATTCTGAACGGAGTGAGAAAGCTAAACGGCTTGCCCTGGCAATTGCTACAAACTGTTGTTTGATCCAGATCAGTGAGTGCCTCCACCTTCGTGCGTTTATCTGCTTTTTCCTCCCAAGCACTTACACAGAAAGCTTTGAAGCATTCTGGCTTCCTAAAAATTTCCATCTCATTAAGCAGAATTCAACCCTTGATACAGACAGCACTGAATGGGCAGGCTATGGGAAAGATGATTTCAGCTGATCACCTCTGAGACGATTCCTTAAACCTCTCAGCCACAGCCCACGTACCACAGCGTCCTGCACACAGCGTCCTGGGGCACCAGCAGCTCCATGTAAGGCAGCTTTTTGTACTCCTCAGTTCCCACTGCCACATAGTAGCTGCCGTTCACCAGTTCCTCCCCAGCAGACACCAGTGTGCCATCCAGGCTGCAGAGCCTCGGGAAAGAGACCAAGAGATTCGGAGCAACATGAGGGGAAGTCGCAAGATAGAGAACAGCCCCTCAGTGTGGAGGCAAACAAGTGCAAAGTGGTAAATGAGACCAAGATAAGAGCAAAGGTGTTGGTGTTGTTGCTTTAAAGGTGGGAAAACCGAAAAGCAATTGAAATTGCCAAAGCATGCTACAAGTATCAAACTCCTGGTCCTGCAGCTATTGAGTGCTGCCTGTGTTCTTGGGCACAATGAAAGAAGGCCCAGCAGTGCCTTGCCCACATACCCACCTGTTAACAGCTCCACTGCACAGATCAGCTTTCTCTGTCAGCACAGCCAGGAGCGCGTCCCACTGCCATGAAGTGCTCTTGGAGATCATCAGCTGGAAAGGGGGGCTCAGCAAATCCCCATTCCGAAAGACACTACAGCAGAAACAAGGCAGAGCACAAAGCAAGGCAGCAAGCAGAAACATTTTATTAGCAGTTGTGAAGACATCAACTCTGCCCCTGGTGTCACCAGGCACCATGAGATCTGTGATGAACTACGGGCATTTCTGTTCAGTTTCCTCTGATGAGGTGGATCGTGGAAGAGAGGGCAGAAGGCACGTGCTCATGCCGTGTTTGCAGCAGAGAGCTGTGGTGGAAGGAGGAACTGTTCGTGTGGGGGCAGCATTCAGGTTGGATATTGGGAAGACCATCTCCAGGAGGGTGGTCAGGCACTGACATGGGCTGCCTGGGGGCTGAGCCTCCGTCCCTGAAGTGTTCCTGAGGTGTGCAGCTGTAGTGCTGAGGAACACAACAGTGGGGAGATACGGGTGGAAGGTGGGCAGCTGGACTGGATGATCACAGTAATCTTTTCCAGCCTTGATTCTACGATTGTCAGAATCTCACACAGGAATTCCCTACTTCAGCTTCCAAAATGCTCCCAAATACCTTCCCAGCAGAAAGCACTGAGGCACTTACTGTACTGTAAGGTGGGTGGGCTTCTGCTGCTGCACTGCAGTGCTGGGCTTCCAGGGGGCTGCGGCGCAGGGCTGGAGACAAATTCATGCACAAAAAACAGACAGCTCTGGCACAAAGCTTCCAGAGCTGCTCCATTTTCTTCACCAGGCAGCAGGTGCCCACCCTGCCTTCAGCTTGCTGCTGCTAGGTGGGGTTTGTTGTCAGCAACAGGAAGCCCTGGAGAGGTTCTTCACATACTTGGGTGCATTCCAGAACCTCTGAGCAGATCCTTCTTCCCTTCACTGTTAAGCAGCCCCTGCATCGTTTCACACATCATCCTACTGATTCCTGTGTCATTTTCACAGGATCTCTGCTGGACACGTTGCAGCCTTAAGTCTCAACTTGTGTTACACCAGTGCCAGCTCTCAGCCATCCCTCCTAGCTCAGTCTGTGCTCTTGCCTGTCCACACTCAGCTCAGACTCACCTGCACACTGTTGCTCTTGTTTGTCCCACGGAGCTCCTTCCTCCCATGATTTAAATAGCTACGAGAACAAGAGATGACACTGCAGTGCACCAACCAGGCCATGACTGAAGAGCAGTGAGAAAATGACTGCTCTGTTGATTCGTTGCCAGTATGCGTGTTTATTATTTGGGTCATGTTTGAAATCCTCCACATTCTTCATTTCATGAGCTTCCACAATTAAAGCCTCTTTAAGAAATCCCACTCAAACACAGACCAAGACATCCAGAACATTTTATTCCTTTGCGCTAAACAATGATAAGGCTCCAAGGACTGACTGCTGCTCCAAGGACTGCTGCTCAATCAGGACCACCTCAACAGGATGCAGCATGCAGTCAGGGAGCCAAACTCACCCAGCACACACATCTCACACACATTCCGTCAAGACTGAAGCGATGCCAAGAATCTCTCAGCCCTCTGTATTTCAGGATGAACCTGAACAGCTCGACTTGGTGCAGAATTAGAAAACAAAAGAAACCTCCACTAACCCAAAGAAACAGTGCTTATCAGAGCGGAAACTGTGGCTGGCAACTGTAGAACCTCCCACACCCCACGAAATGGTGCATGCGAGGCAAAGCAGCACCAATCTCACACAGCCAAAAGGAGACTGCACATCTCCCCCAGTATTTTTTCTTTCAAGAGTCAGTGACCTTGTCAGCAATACGTGCATTTCCCAAGCAACCTGAAATACATCAGAAAATTCCACCAGGGAAAGAAACTAACCTCTCTGTATTTTTCTTTGGGTTTGCATCCTTTTTACCTATTTACCCTTTCCTTCCCCCCTCCATTTACACCTCACAATATCTAGAACTGCTTACCAAACCCAGAGACAAAAGGACCATCTACTCACTCGAGCCTCTTGAACTTTTCACAGCCCGCAGCCACGTACTGGCACCCATCCTGCAGGTCAGCCAGCTCAGCAACGCGACGGCCATGCTGGGGTGTGTAGAGATTCCTCACAGCCAAGGGCGCACGAATGCCCTCGGTCACCTCACTCAGAAATGCCTCAAAGGTCAGGAGCCGCCGCTGGTTCACCACAAACTTCCTCCCGTGGAAGAAGGGGTCGCCGTTGCGATACACCACCACGTTCTTGGCCGGACGAGGCAGAGCTGAGCGCCGGGAGCTCATTCCCCATGGGTCAGAGAGGCAGACAGACAGACGCAGAGCAGGGAGCAGAGCTCCAGCAGCTCTCCCACTCAGCCTGCGCCCTTCTGACCAGCTGCCTTTGTGTTTTGCTGTCCCTCCTCCTCAGTCCCCTGAGCAACTGTCCGTCACCACGGCTGCAGCAGGAGCTGTGGGCCAGGCTGAAGCCACATCAAACAACCTGCAAACACTGCCATCTGAGAGCCAGGAACCACACAGCTCTTTAAACCTCACCCCACGCTAACTACCATGGCCAACAGGTTCAAATGAAGCAGTTCAGAGGGGCAGTGCCAGTATCTCTGGCAGCAGCTTGCATGTCACCCAGAGCAGCAATACCTGAAGCTGTCATCCCCTTGCCATCACTTGCTGCTGCATGAAGCATGCAGCAGGTTTCCATTCTGCACATGGTGGACAAACATCCACGCCATGGCAGATACGCTGCCCCTTGCACTGGTTGCCCTGGGTCAAAACAGGCACTTGGAGATCCCAGGCATTACAGAGTGGTGAAGTACAGAAAAATACAGCTCACACAGTGGTGCACATCACCCACAGCTGAGTGGAGGAGAAGTTCATCGTACAGATTCAAAGCACCTGTGGCCTTCAGGCATTTTAATTCCACCACAAGCAAGGAGCTGGTCAAAGTGGAACTTCTGTGACAACTTTCCCAGCCTCAATTTACCCTTAGGACAGGTTCTCAGGGAGGGAGGACTTCCTCCAAGACACAGAACCTCCTTAGTGTCACAGTGTCACTTCATTCCTGCTTTGACCAAATACTCCCATTTAAAAGAAACAAAAGTCTTTTGCCACGTGAATCTGGTTAGGAGAACATCAGCTCACAGAGTTGGAGTTTCCCCAGGGTGCTGCTGTGAAATCATGTTGTGACTTTGCTGCTGCAGCTCCTCTGCTCCCCCACAGCAGCACAAAACATCCTACGTGCTCAGGAATGCCTTCCTAGCTGTCAGGAGACTCCAGCCTCTGTTTCAGCTTCAGGTACTACAAGAGAAAGAAAATCAAATTTTAGCAGTTAGATCTCAGAGACCCAGAAGCAGGAAAGCACCTGCAGTTTAGCCAAAGTCATCACACTTGGCCAGAAGATTCACATGAACTGCACCCTAACCAATGCCAACAGCAGCTTGCTAAGTGAGATAGCTCCTAGGCACGTTACTGTATTACACACACACAGCACTTATCAAACAGCAGCCTCTCTGTAGCAGGACAGAAGCTTACAGCCAAAATCTAAACAACTTCTGCTTTCCTTTTTCATTTTTTTCCCCCTCACTCTCAAAAAAAAAAAAAAAAAAAAAAAAAGGCACAGCCATCATCTGATCCAACCCCGAGGAAACCGGGCCCCCACCACCCAGCCTCTCACCCCATCACAGATGGAGCCCCTCTGACCAAGAGGCAGAGCAAGCCCTTACATTTTTACGGCTGTCAATTGCTTGTTGCAACCACAGCAGCTCCATGATCAAGTGATTCCTGAAGGACTGAAGGCCAGGCCGAGTTCGGGGAAGCTCCTTTACATCCACAAGTGGAATTTCTGCAAAGGATTGGAAGAAGCTACTGCTAGAATACTGAAATTGCATCTCTTTCCTGCAGTGAGAGATTCTGACGTCTCCAGTACATTCTCAAGGCTTCGATTCTCCAAAGTCCTACTTCACCACCTGCACCTAGTTATTCAACCCACGCAGCAGAACACCACACTGCAGGGACTGCTGTCTCTTACCCAGGCAGGCTTTGAGGGAGCCTGGTTCCAGATCAGTGCTGTCCCATACAGATGAAATGCTGCTGCTGTTCTGCCACTCCTTGCTCTCCGATGGGGCACTGCACCTTTTTTCAGTGCTTTTACCTGTGACTGCCCCTAGATTTGCAGGGCTTGCTACCCTGCATTCACCCACAGAACTCAGTTCTTTCTCACTTTGCAGCCGGGCTGTAGGTTTCACGCTATTGCTGGAGCCCCAGTCCCATTCTGGTTTGGGAACATCCAGTTCCTGCTGTGTTTTCTCTGTGCTGTCCTTGTCACTCAATACAGCTTCTCGCAGAGGTGAGCGCTTCTCTTTCACTGGCTTCTAGGAGACAAAAGTGAAAAACTGGACAGACAGACATAAAAAAACAAACAAACAAAAAAAGCACAGAAAGCTCTGAAAGGGGCAGTGCTGCAGGGCAGCCGTTGTCCTACCCAGAGATCTGCATTACCAGCAGCTCGGCCACAAAACCTGACGCTGAGATTTGAACCACCGCAAACTTTGCCCCAGGCCTTTCTCTCAGGACGGGAAGCCGCGCTACGAGCAGCGCTCAGCCACCGCGGGAGGGGGGCAGACCGACGGGAGCTCGGCACGCGAAGCGCGCAGTTTCTCGTGCAGTTGGAGCTCCGAGCGGAGCTGAGCTTCACCCGCGGGAGGCAACGCTCAGTCAGCGGGAAGCCCACGGCGGGCCTCGGCCGCACAACCGCCCCGTTTCCTCCGGTGACGAGGCCGCAAGGCAGCCCGCTGCCAACACGCGGCCCCGCCGCGCCCAGCGCCCGCACAGAGCCGCGGCCCCGGCCCGCCCCGCACCAGCACGGACCTCGGAGACGAAGACGGGTCTGGGCAGACAGAGGCCCGTCCAGCGCAGCTCGCTCAGCTCCCCCTCGATCTCCCTCACCACCTCCTCGTACTCCGCCCGCACGCCCCGCAGCCGCCGCCGCAGCAGGAAGCCCCGGACCCCGGCCTGTGGGCAGAGCGGCGGGGAGAGCGGCTCAGCGCCCGGACGGCAGCCCGGCGGAAAAGAAGCGACACGGCCGGGTACGGAGCGAGGTACGGCTTTAATGAAGCGCGGCGCGGCCTCCCGCGGCCCCACCTGCAGCCGGGTCACCGCGCGCAGCAGTCGCCGCCTCTCCGCGCTCTCCTCCCGGGGACCCGGAGCCGCCGCCATCGCCTCCGGAGCAACGAGGGCGCCGTCCGAGGACGTCATCGCGCCGTCCGATGACGTCACAGCACCGCTGCGCGCGGCCGACCAAAATGGCGGCTGAGGGGGGTGTGGGGAGCTCGGTGACCCGCGCGTCACCGCCGTCGGCCCCGCAGGGTGGGCCAGGGAGGCTCCGCCGTCCCGTCCTCCCCATCCCGCGGGGCCGCCTCCCCGCAGCCGGCGGTTGTCAGGCCGCGGCCTCCTCAGGGCTGGGGCTCTCGGCCAGGTGCAGCTTCTGACTGCGTTGCTGTCAAGGGAAAGCACGGCGGGACGGCACGTGCCCTGCACCACCACCACCACCAGAACCAGCACCACCGCCACCCCACGGCCCTGCAGGATACATGGAGCTGCTGAGCTCCTCCAGCTGCAGGAGGCAAAGGCAGAGGTTGAGGGGCCTATCAGCGCTGCAGGGCCGGGCACGTGGTGAGGAGACGCCACTCACGTGTGCCAGCAGCTGGTCCAGGTTCCTGTCAGCCACCAGCTTCTTCTGCTCCTCCGGGAGCTCCTCCACGCACACATCCAGGCCGAAGTGCAGCCGCGCCAGCTTCTCCTGCATCTCACGCACGTGCTCCAGCTGCTCGAAGGAGCATTCCTTCCCTGCACCCGCAAGTAGAGCTGTCACCACCCACCAGCGTGCCCCCCTCTTCCCCGCGTCCCCTGGCTCCCGGCCGCTCACCAAAGGCCTGCAGTTTGCCTGAGTGGAAGTCGCTGAGCAGGCCGAGCAGCCCGCCCTCCATCTCGCAGACATCAGAGACCTCGGTGAGGAAGCTGTGCTGCAGCGGGGCCCCCCGTGCTGCCCCTGCCCTCACCCTCTCCTTGCTCGCCCTGCACAGAGAACACAGACGATGTGACACCCCCAGCCCGTCCCCCCAGCACTGCTCTCTCCCCCCACCCCAGCACTGACCGCCGGGGCCTGGCACGCTGTGAGGGCAGGGCGGGCAGCGGCAGGGCGAAGGATGCGCTACTGCTGGTGGGCAGAAGCCGTGATGCTCTGGCGGGTGCCAGCTGACCTCTGGGGCTCCGCTTCTTCCTCCGCTCCTCCATCCCAGAGCCACGCGGGAAGCACCTGAGCAGGACGGGATGGACACAAAGCTCTCGGCAGCGCTTCCCCACGCGGGGCCTCCTGGTCCTCACGGCAGCCGGGAAGCCAAGGACAGAGCTCAGCCCCCACACTGGGGTCAGCAGCCAGGCTCAGGCTGCCTCATCCCGGTCTGCGGTGGGACATCACGGCACAGAGCAGAGCCTGGGATCTGAAAAACACCCGGGGCACTTCCAGCCGGGGATTATTCCTCAGCGTCTTCTCCCAGAGCTGCAGAAAAGAGGATTTCAGCCCCCATGGAGCAGGGGAGGACTCCCGATTCCCGGAGCCAGGGCAGAGACTGCAGGAGGGACCCGACATCCCTGAACCCTCCCCAGCGTGTTTCGGCCCCCACCGAGCTCCTCTGCCCCCTGGGCCCTTGACGGTGGCAGGACGGGGTGATGCGGCGGGTGCTGCGGAAGCCCATTTGTTCTACGAGCTCCGGCGCCGCACCACAGCGGCATGGAAACACCGACCTGTGCGAGAACGTCCTCCGGCCTTCGGTGCCACCCGGCTGCGTCCCCAGGACCGCTGGACCAACTGTGTTCCCGGAGCCCTGGGGCTGCGATTTGCATTTAAAGGGAAAGGGACCTTCCTCCGGCCTCAGCACAGCCCGGCCCCTGCTGGAGGGACGCCGCTGGTCGCCGCCTTGCAGCGCCGAACGCCGCCCGCTGGAGTGGCCACGGCGCGCAGATGGGCCCGGACCGCAGCACCAGCGTCGTATGGGGAGGGCAGGATCCGGCCCTCCATTCTGCACAGCTGGAGCAGATGCGGCAGCCGTGCACGCAGCGAGGGTCTGGGGTAGGTATGGGGTCTGCACCCGGGCTCCTTCCCTGCGAGCATCCTGATAGAAATGGGGGGGATGTCACTGCCTGCCACCCCCTTAAACCCTCCAGGGTCCACCGTGAGTCTCCTCAGCATCACCTGATTTGTGTGACCACAGATTTGCCCTTGCAAGAACAAGGGTTCAATCCTCTGGCACGTGGGACCGCAGGAACCCCCAGATCACAGGGAGTGAAGAGCAACAAACTGCCCGGTGCTGGGTGTCCCAGGCACAGACTTCCTCCCCCACTTGTCTGGAGGCACAGATGTGCCATCACCTTTGCAAATGAAGGTTCCCCCCAGCCTCTCCACTCCACTCAGTGCCCCAGATTTCAGTCCCAAACACGATCCTTAATGAATGAGAAATAACACAGACAGCAGCAGTGAGTTTGTGGGTGTTTCTATTGGATACGAAGATACATACATCAGCTCCCCACAGAGGTTATCTGTGCCATAACAGGAAAAAAAAAAAGTGAAGGTGTTTGTGACTTTCTGAGGGATTTTTCTTTGACTGAAAGGGCAGGAAAGAAAAATCCAGTGCCAGGCTGCAGCCCTTTCTCCCACCACCTTCATGTGCTCCAGAACGCTCCTGCCCAAGTCAGATGCAACCCACCCAGGAGGAAGCAACGCAGGCAGCGCAGGGCCAGAAGCAGCCCAGAAAGCCCTGGGGAGCAAACCGCAGTGATGTTCAAGATTGTGGCTCCGTGGAGCTTCAATAGACTCAACAGCCTCTCTCCTTAGACCCGAACTCTCCGGAATCCCCAGGGAATAAAGAGGGAAGCAGAAGCGCCTCCTGCAGGCAGCTCCCACGGCAGGTCCTTCCAAGGGCGCTGTACAGTTGCAGAGAAGATGCAAGAGCAGCTGCAGCCAGAAAAGAAACCAAAACTGTTCCGCCGAATGCATTCACTGTGAGGAACAGCTCAGCCAGCTCAATTCAGCTTCAAGCAAAAGGAAGGCAATGCTGAAAATAGTCTGCTGTAAAGAGAAGCTGCAGCAAGAGGTTTGCAAGCAAGTCGATGTCTCCCAAACGAGTAGTGAAAAAAAGGAAGTGTTGAGAAACTAAGGAGAAATCCCCCAAGTTCTGCGCCAGATTGCCTCTCGTGCCATCAGAGCCCTCCCAGACACAGCGGCAGCAGCTCAGACTTGGTGACTGCCAGCATCTGGGAGATGCTGTTCTGAAAAAGCAGAGGGCAAGGAGAGGCCCAGGCAGCACAGCCTGTCTGCAGGGTGTGACGCTGCAGAAGGAATCGGCCCACAGCACCAGCCTCGAGCTGGTCCCAGCGATTCAGCTTCAGGTCATGGAGAAGCCACAAATTTGATCCTCCTGGAGCCCCAGCTCCATGAATACCTCTGAGACCACCCCACTCAACACCAAGGGAGGGTCCTGAGGCAGGGCAGAGGAGTTCGGTCACAAGGGCGTCCCGATCCCCTCGCACAACTAATCACAGGTGCTTGTGCAAAACACTTCGGAGTTAGACCTTTGGATTAACTGTTTAATATACTTGTGCACATGTGCGTATAGCAAAGAGGCAACTGTGAATCATAAGGCTATTGAAACACTGGCAGGTTCTAGGAAGAGCAAAGGCCCTGCAGGGTGCCTGGGCAAATCCGGTGTCCCCAGTTTCTCTGCTTTTCTGTCCCTGTTCAATACACAAAACCCATACAAGAGGGGAACTGGACGGTTCTGCTCAAGAAAGAGCTGCCAGCCAGGGCGTGAGGAAGCAACAGCAAGTCCAGGAGCCGCCTCCTGCCTGATGCAGATCAGGGAGGGAGAATCCAGCGCTGGGAAATGCTTATGTTCTCCCTTGCTCAGTTCTTTTGCTCTCACCCAGTGTGACAGCATTGCTGTGAAGGTGGAGGAAGCGACGTGTCCTGCTGTCCCGGTGCCGTGAGCCGGAGGGCTTGGGCCGATCCGTGCCCTTGCTTTCCTGTGCTGCACTACATTTTAGGGGAGTCGCAGCCTGCCAATGACAAGGTCTTTCAGTGACAGGGACAATCAGCTGAGTCTCCATATATTAGTTATTCACACACGCAGGGAGGTGGGTCATTCTAGATTTCATATATATTCATATATAAAGTGTATGTTGCCCTGCACGTATTTGATATCTCATATATACACACACACATCATCTATGTGTATATATATATATAGAACATTTAAAAAACCCTCCAAAAGCCTAAGCTAGGAAATTTCACAGCCCAAGGAGGGCCGTCCTCGTGCCCCCATCCAAGGACCAGGAGAAGGGCTTCAGATGGAGCCTGCAAACGTTCGTGCTACCCTCCCTCTCCCTACTCCCGCCTACCACACAGCAGGCTCAGTCAGCACCCTGAGCGCCTTCCTCAGTCCCGCTCTGCCCCAAGGCTCCTGTGCTCAGTTCTCCAAGGCTTTCCGCAGGATCTGTGCTGTGCGCCGCCTTTCCCGAGTGCAGGCAATCCTCAGCCAGCCGCTGCTCTGCCGGGGCTCCTCCAGCTGCCGCCTCGCAGCCCCCCCGCGTTGGCTCCTTCAGAGCCTCTGTCGGCTCCACGTCTGCCCGCGCCGTGTGGGCACACAGGTCCTGCACCTTCTTGTTGAGGTCGTTGCGCTCTGTTTGCAGGGCTCGGCACAGTTTCTCCAAGCGCTGGATTTTCACCTGAAGCCCCTCCAGCTCTTTATCCCGAAGGGTTTTCTGCAAACAGAGAAGCGGTTCAGATCTACCACACCGGGGACGCAGGCAGAAAGGAAGAGAGATGAAACTTCAGAGGGAAGCTCAAAGACCACTCAGTTGCCTGCCTGAGCACAGAGCAGCCCCAGCCTCCTCACCTCCTCAGCCATTTCCAAGAGAGCCTTGTTGCTGCTCTCCCAGCGAGAGCGGTACATTGTGGTCTCCTTCTCCAGCTTCTTAATTTTCTTTGTCATCTGCAGAACAGTGACAGAAAGGCAACTGATAAGCCAGAATAATGCAGCCAGGCACATCTCACGTGTACTCCAATGGACTCCCACTTCCCCAGGGCAGACAGCAAGATCCTGCTGTCCTGGGAAATGTCTTCTGGTCTGTTGGTGGGAAACCAACAATAAACCAGGAGACGGTGGTAGCGCTGCTTTTCCTGATCCAGGAGGGGTACAGCCATCACCCCACGAGTCCAGCATCCACCTTCTATCAGCAATCAGTTTGTGCCTGATTTTAATGCCAGCATAACTCAACAGAACAATACAGCTGCTTCTCATCCAGCTCACAGAGTAAGTGAGGAGAAAGGCAGCACCCAGCCTGCCAGCCACTGCAGGCAGCGACAGCAATCCCTACCTTCTCCATTTCCTGCTTAAATGTTGTGAACACTTCACTGCTTTTGGAAAGGGTGTTCTGGAATTCTTCAAACTTCTCTGTGTAGAGAGCCAGCTGTGGGAAGAGACAGAGTTACAGCTCCTCAACATGGCACCTCCTGATGGCCTTTCCCAGGAGCGGGGAGACGTCAGCCAAGAAGTGAGCCAGTCGTCTTGTGACCGGACTTTATGACTAACAAACTTGCAGCAAGGGGCTGCTCTGCCAGCATTAGGCACTGCAGAACGTGGAACAATATTTCTTCTCTCTTAGGGAAACACCCTTAGAGAGCTGTGTGTTCTCCAAACACCTCCTGGCCTTGGCAGGAAGCAATTGCTGGGTCTGATTCAGCAAAGCGTGATCACACAACTGCTCCGAGCACTGGGAAACACACTGGTGAAACCAGGGCTCCTTTCTTTCACAAGGAGGAGAAGCTGAGGAAGGTTTCATCTCACACTGTGCTTCACACAGGCACACAAATATCACACTCAAGAGCATTCCTGCCTCTGTGGTTTTCACATTAAGGAAATTCAGGCTGTTCCCTGCTGAAGGAGGAAGGGAAAAAACAAATGACCAGGCTGAGCACACACACAGACCAGGTAACTCACCTGCTGCTTGAGATGAGTCTCCTGCTGCTTCATCAGCTCACACATCCTCTGTGATTCCACAGCTTCCTTCAGCAGCTGGGAAAGAGCAAAAGCAGTTACCTCGCTGCTGCCAGAGAAAGCCCTCAATATGCCATACGCTGCTGGTGCTTGGCCTGGAGTCAGCAGAGGGCTGGGAGGAACAGCACCAACAGCTCAGGCTCCAGCCTTGCTTCTGAGGCAGCTGGGGGAATGGTTGCTGCTGCATACACAGCTGGGACGGCCTGATCTGGTAAGGGCTCTGCACTCGGGAACCCAACCTCCACAGAGAAACAGGGCGAACACCTAAGTGCTTATAACCAGTACAGAATCATAAGACTTACAAAGTCCTTTTCCCGCTGATGTCTCTCCTCTGCTTCCTTCAGCATTTCCTGTGCCTGCTGGAGCTTGGCATCCACGAGCTGCTGCTGCAGGTCCTTGTGTTTGAACACCTTATCAATGTGCTGCCAAAGGAAACGCCACCAGTCATTGACATGCGAGGCCAGGGCCCTGCTACCCGTGTGGCACGGATCCCAAGGAATGACCTCAAAGCCCAAGGGCTCCACCTCCCCTCCAGCAGCAGTTTCTGCCCTGGAAACGCTCTCCAGGGCACAGTGGGTGAACCACAGCAGGCTACGCCAGGCCCGACTCACCTCCTCCCGCAGCTCATACTGCTCAATGAGCTTCTTGAGCCGCTCTGCCAGCTCCATGTTCTCCTGGCGCAGCTTGGAGTTCCTCTCGTTGTGCTGCTCCATCTGGAGCTGGATGTCATTCAGCGTCACCTGGAAGTGGGATGTCACCTCCTTCCGCTTCTCCTCTTCCTCTCGTGCTCGCTGGACACCCTCCTCCTGTGTTAGAAGGGCAGACAGCAAGGCCACATCAGCCTCTGCGCTGGGCAGGCAGGTGAACAAACCTCCCTGGGCCGTGATGATCTGAACCACCCAACTTCCCACTGCTGTTGGTACCAATCAGGAAGGCACTGCGGGCCACTGCTCGGCAGCTTCGTCACTCCAAGAGCTGAGCAAACCCGCTAAACATCGCTTCCCTCAGAAGACCACGTGGGTCAGCTCCCTCCCCTCCTAACCCTTGCAAGATGACCGATTAACAGCAGAACTGAAGCCCTGCTCCGGACATCAGACTGTGGGCACCCACTCCTAAAAGTACGTCTGTCACAGTGGCTCACAGCCCTGCAGCAGGCTGTGTTTGGGACTGCAGCAGTCCCAGGAGACGCCTTGCCTTGAGGGTGCGGTTGTGCCTCTGGAGCTCACGGCACAGGCTCTCCAGCTTGCTGCGGGCCAGGATGGCCTTGCTGTGCTCACTCTGCAGGTGGTCCTTCTCTTGCACCAGCTGTGTCTGCTTCTTCTGCAAAATCTTCATCTGTTTCTGGGAGTTACGGTGCTCTTCCAGCTAGGGTAGGAGAGCAGAGGGCAGAGATGCAGCAAAAAAGACCAGGGCAATGCTGTGCCCATATAAGGGCACACAGAGATCAAATAGGTGTTCTGACTACTCTGAGGGAAGGACAAGAGCTTTATAATACAAAAGCACAGTAAGATCAATACAGAACCCAAGGTCTCCCTGCACACAGCCTTTCTCCTTCCTGAACTAGCATCCTACTGGAATTTGTGAGAGGTGCACTTTCCTTCAGGACCTCCATGCATACACTGCTTAAACAGAGCAGAGCCCTGAGCACGTGGCCAGCTGTCCTCCCACTGCCCCAGAGCCTGGAATGAAGAAACAAGGACTCACCAGCTCAGCGTATTTCTTGCACAGTGCTGCCAGTTTCTCCTCTGGCGTGCTCAGGGTGTTCAGGGTCTGCATCAACAAAGTAATTTCTTTGCCTGGCACAAGACACAGAATTAAACAGAAAGATGACAGCACTTACACAGAGTTCTGGCTTATAAAGGTAAGGACAGGAGAGACAAACCAGGTCTCACATCTGTGGCCATCTTGGCCCAGAGTTCCCATCTCCAATGCCTACTGGGGTTTGTCCCCCAGATCTCACTGCATTCAGCAGGTGAACAATTGAAGCAGCTGAGGAGAGACCTGGTTATCAGAGTGGGGAACCACCAGTGGACTAACCAGACAAAGCTGTGTCCAACAGAGGGGAAATCTGCACAATTCAGAGGCTGCAGCAGCACTCAGGGCTGATCAGAGTCTTTGAAACACTCTGTTTCCTTGCATGCCACAAGAATAAGATGCCTTGCTATTTTCACACATACTTAAGGCATTCATCTCTCTAATGGGACCCAGTGCAGTATAAAATCCACGTCTGCACCAAAGCTCTCAGGCTGGTAGCACAGCCACGGCAGGAAACCTCTTACCTAGGCCCTTGGCTTTCTTCTTTTCCTGAGCCTTCTTCTGATCCCGCTCCCCACACTCCTCTCCAGGTCGAAACTCTTCAGTCCCCTTCGTGCCTTCCTTCTCCCCATTCATCTCAGGGCTGCCTGACTCCTGATCTCCGTTCCTCGGGGACTCACTGCGACACTTCTCCACCTCCTCTGGCTCCACAGCCTCACTCTGCCCGCCGTCCTCGCCCGGACCCTCCTGGCTGGCATCCACGCAGTACGTGTTCAAGATGTCCTCAAGCTGCCTGCTCAGCTCTTCAGAGACATCCCGCACGGCAGGCCGGGAGGACTTTGTGTCCTCCTGTGTGAGGGGAGCTGTGGAGATACGAGCACAAAAGCGTGATGCTTCCCCACACCGTCTATTCTCTGCTCTCTACAAACACGCAGCAAAGGGAAGGCTTCCCCGAGCACCTCACTGCTACACTCCCAGCACACAAACTGCTTTGTTCAGGCTGTGCCTCCAGCCAGCTGCCCTGACAATGGAGGTGCATTCCTAACAGCCTCTCTTTTGATCACAAGAGCATGACCAAGCCCCTGACATCTGTCAAGAGCAAGAACTGCCCCCTCCCCACCACCCTCTAACGAAAGCAGGTTGTGCATGAGCTTCCCCTCGGAGCAGCAGCCTGCTAATATCCCCAGAGCCATGCCTTTTAGCACAACAATAGATTTTATAATCTGAGCTAGCCTCTTTCCTCACATATATAAGCAGCTGTACTGGCTCAGATGAAGCACATCCCATCCCCAGCAGCCCCTCAGCACTTCTCTGCGTCCAAAATTCCTTCCAAGCAGAGCCTACAGCAATCAGTTATTAAACTCACTCAACTGCTGTTCATTTCCACGTTTACTAGAACGCGGGGCAAGGTTACCTTTAACCACCATCTACTCGATTACCCATTTCTGTCTTACAGAAATTGAATGTTACAAAGCACCAATAACAGAACCAGTCGCTGCGGGAGAGCTTTCTGTGAGCCTGAAGGACCGAGCAACGCCAACCCCATCGATCCCAGGTCAGAATCAACTCCGCGTTGTGGGAAAGAAGCGCTAACGATTTGGAACTGCGTGCACGTGGGAACAGCGGGAGAGCAGGATCTTCTGCCCCGGAATCACCGGCACAGGTCAAACAGTGGCACAGAACGGACCCCCGTTGTACAGAAGCAGCGCCAGCACGGCAGCCCCGCGCGCCGCCCCACCTTCCTGCGCTGCGCTGGGTTCGGCCGGGTCGCCCTCCTCCGCCAGAGCGCCGCTCGTTTTGGCCGCGGGCCGCGGGGCCGCCTTGGTCTCGCCGCCCTGGTTCTTCATCGCCGCGCCGTCTCCCGCTCAGCCTCGCCGAGCCCCGCTGGAAGAGAAACCGCGGCTGAAGGCGAGCCGTGCGGTGCCGGCCCGGGCGGGGCACGGAGCCGGGGGAGCCGAACCCGCCGCGCCCCAGGGATGGCATCGCGGAGCCGCCCCCGAGGAGCCCCGAGGAGCCCCGGCCGCGGAGCCGCTCCTCCCCCCGGTACCGCCCGGAGCCCCCGGGCCGCTCCCGACGTCCCACGTGACCCCCGTGACGTCAGCAACGCCTCCCTTCCTCCCACGGCACCACGATGACGTCACGCGCGTACCCCCGTGGCGTCAGCGGCAGCGCTCTGACGTAGACGGCCGCCTCTCCTCAGCCAATAAGCGCCGGGCAGCCGGCAGCGCTGCAGTGTAGCGGCGGGGAGGGGGGAGGGAAGATGATCGCCGCACCCCCCGCCGGCCCCGCCGCCCCGCGCTGAAGGAAGCGGCTCCGGCCCGGGCCTCACAGCGTGCGCTCATCGCGCAGGCGCCGCCCCGCGCCGCCAACCAATCGGCGACGAGGAGCCGCAGGGGCTGCCGGGAGACGGCGGAGAGAAGCGGCAAGCACCGCGAGACTACAACTCCCGGCGTGCCCCGCGAGAGCCACTCTCACCCCCCCGTCGCACTACAGCTCCCGGCGTGCCCCGCGCGCGGCCCGCGCGGGAACTCGCCGCCCTCACGGCTCCGCGCCCGCCCCGCGCTGCCCGCCCTCTCCACACACGGCTCCGGCACAGCGCGCTCATCTGCACATAAGTTTTTATTCGTTCAACAGTCACGGACTCAGCAAACCCAACGCGGGGCGAGGGGCACGCAGGCCCGGCCCACCCCTCCCGGCCTCAGCCCCGCGGCTGTGAGGAGCAAACCTTGGCGCCCAGCAGAGCGGTCGAAGAGCTACGTGTACAGTACGTGAGTGAACGGGAGAAGCAGCAGGACGACGAGGGAGCGAGCTCGGGGTCGTTTCCAGGCACACCTGCCTCACAGTGTTCTATTTACATAAGTTACAGAAATTTTATATATAGTTTTCTCTGGAGCCCAATTAGACAAATAGCTACCTATATATAATATAAAAAATACAGAGATTTGATTCTTTTCTCGAAGGAAAATGTACATGTTCCGACTGTGAGCAGGAGGTAAACCTGGAGCCCCAGGCGCCGTGCTGCTGAGCTCGCCCTGCACGCAGCACAGCACCCGAAACGCAGCCCTGGGGAGGATTCAAGTAAAGATGAAGATGGGTTCCACCATTTCAGCAGTCCTGCAGCTTCCATCAGTAGCAATGCAAAGCCTGTGCCGTGGCAGCTGTGCTTCCTGTTCCAGGACCACCCCAGCATCCCGCCCTCTTCGCAGTGACCAGCTTTGGGGTTTGTTGCTTTTTATCCTTGTAAATACTACCAGCAGTTCTTCGGGAAAAAAAAAATCCGGACACGGGGAAGGACCCTTCCCCCAGAAGCCTCTCGCTTCTTTGTCCATTTACAGCATGTTTGGGGGAACTCAGGCCAGCTCTGACAGGACTGTCCGCTGCAAGAGGAGCGCAGAAAGGCCAGGGCTAAACTCTGCTCTTGGCAAATTAGAGTCTTTAATAAGAGTAACATGTGCAAAAAAATTAAATAGATCAACCCAGGTTTCCAGAATTATTCTTGTCAGAATACTCACTTTCTATTTCTGTTCTTACCCAACCCAACGCTGAAATCTCAATTAAGTACCCGAGGTAAGAAGTGACATTTGGGAGAGATCACCACAAAGAAAAAAAACCCAAGAGGTGCAATCTGTTACCTCAGTGTCCTTCCTCCACCCAGATGCCTGCTTTAAAGACACGTATGCAGCAGCAAAAAGAAAAAAACGTGCAAGACATCCCATTTTCTTCATGAGGATAAAGCACTCTGTCTAGTTGTTTGAAGGAAGAATTGTTTCCTAACAGGTGGAGTGAGTGTTCAGCCTTCCATGTGCGAGAAGGAATGGGACAATCAGCTTCTCCCAGTTGCTTTCTGGCAAATCTGTGGTGGTCTTTTTGCCTGGGGCACATTATAGCTGGAAGCCTTCCATAGGGGCTTCAGGTTGCTGGAAGATGAATTGCTGCTGGTTCTCATCTACCTGGGGAGCTAAAGCAGAGTCATCCTCTACTCCAAAGTAGTGCTCAATCAGGTCGAAGGCTTTCTGGTAGATCTCTTGGTTCTCGTGGCTCTGCAGGAACTCTATCTTATCCAAGCCTTAGAAAAGACAAAAGTGGAACATGAGAAACAGGAGACCCTAACGTTCAAGCTGTCCCAATCCATGCTCCACCCTTTCCCTGTTTATTGCTTGTCTGTGTTACACAAGCCTTTTGTGAGCAGCACTGACAGCTAAAGCTAACTATTCCCGTTTCTCCACAGCTGCCTGTGGATTCTATCTGTATCAGCAACCATTCATCTTTCCAGTTGCAGGTTTAGCTAATGCAGTTAAGCAGGAAGTCTCCAGCAAAGCACTGCGAGCACTGAACTGGCCAGTGAAATTTCTACCACTGGCTGTGAGCAGCTCTGCAGCTGCAGGAAGCAGGGCCTGTCCCAGTAGCCTCCAGCAGAAGGGCAGCAACAGCTTTAGCTGTCCTAATTAAATCCAGTGCTGAACAGAAAGAATCCAAGCACGACGTACTCAGGAATTTCAAGAATTATTCTTACTGGAGGAACCAGGACACACAGCAAAACAGGCAGTGAGAGGGCAAGGAAAAAAAAAAAAAGGAAAAAAGCCACTGCCAGTATAAAGGGCATTTCAGACCAAAATAGGAACTGTTCCTCAAAGCATTAGGAACAGGACAAAGCCACCAAATTAGGTCTCTCCAGGGAAAAGCTAAGTCTCTCTGGATTTCCATCATGCGTTTGCAGTGCACAGCTGGGGACAATTAGAGAAATCAAAGATCCATGAAGTGGGTCTCACTCATCTCATTACTTTGATTAATATTCCTAACAGCGAGAGCCACAATTATCAGGCTGGCCTCTAAGTCTAGGAAACCTGGATCACAAGTACAACAGTCTTTGCTCCCTGACATTATTTATGCTGCATCACAACATTCTAAAGACAGCGTGATCTACTGCTGGAACAAACAGCAGCAGGTTTGGGGCACACCCAGCCACTCCAACCATCAGAAAAGCGAACAGAACTAGCAGACACCTCCCAACATATTGTACTGTTTTCAAAGTCAGCGGCACCCGAACCTACCGTAAGCCTCCTCTATCATGCTGCAGTACGGGTTGATGCCCGTCCCGCTCTGGTTGGCCTCCTGCTCTCCCAGCCTCAGGATGTTCTCCAGGCCATTCAATGCCACCTGAACGATCTTGGAGTCCATGACGGTAAGGAGGTCACAAAGAGGCTTGATGCAACCCAGGTTGACCAGGTATCTAAAAGAGGTGACCAGGAGCACACGTTCACCTTTCAGGACAGCAGGCACCACCACTGCTCAGTTACAAAGAGCAGGACAAGTGGTTCAAGCTGAAAGAAATCTCTCAATTTTTATATTTTGCTGTCTTACAAGGTTATTCATCTATTTATTAATATATACCCCTCCCACCCCATTTTTTTCCTTCTGATTTTAAGGTAGCTCCTGACATCCAGGTGATAATGAAATTACGAGCAGCGAGGATCTAATTGGCCTGGCATGCATGTTAGGCACTCTCCCTGGGGTTCCCCAAATTAGTTCCTCACCACTTCAGCAGTTCCTACAAAGGAAATGTCTGAATGCTGGCAGCTCTCAGAGCTGCAGGGGTACCTGATCTGCTCAGGAGTTCCTCCTGACGTTGCGTTTGTGATTGCCCACGCCGCCTCCTTCCTTGTACGGAATTCTGCTTTCTGCAAGATTTCTATCAGCACAGGGAAGATGTTTGCATCTATGACTGCCTGAGGAGAGAGAACAGCCAGTAGCGTTTGAAGGGCAGCACGGTTTCTAAAAAGGCTGTTAAGCACCTGAAATCAAGCTCTGCTTCCATTTCCAATTCAGAAAGTCCTTCCCAAGCCACTACCTTCAGCCATTGCTCCAATCCATCCCCCAGCCAACCCCATTCACACAAGGCAATCGAGTGGGGACCAGCTCACAGATGATCCCTATTGCTGCATCAATACTGCAGGAATGCTTTCATCATTTATCTGCCTTTGTACATCGGCCATTAAAAGGATAATTAAAACTCAACAAGCTAAAGCCTTTCAAGGGGATACTCCTGAGGAGGGAGAAATGGGGGCTGCATCTCTTTTCCAGTGATCCAACCCACACACTCACACCAGCCCAGCCTCTGTAGGTACAATTAGCTTTTTTTTTTTAGCTCCTTTGGCAAATGGACAGAAACAGCCAGTCTGCAATAAGTCAGATTAAGAATGCACAAGAAGCTGCCACAAAGCATCAGATAAGGGAAAAACCAAAGAGATCTCATTATTAATGCTGAGCATGGAATCTAGGATTATTATAAGGGACCCAGGGAAGACTCAAAGCTGTACCTGTATTTGTGCTCTGTTTCCTGCTGTGATGTTAGATATGGTCCAGCAGGCTTCTTTCCTGATGGACTCCTTGGGACTACTTAATAAATGAAGGAGGCAAGGCAGGGCTGAGCAGTTCAGAATCACCTTTTTAAAAAGAAATCAGGAGTTAGGCCACCTGTGTCAGGTAGAGAGCAAAATACTTTGCTTTCACACAGTGGATATGCTGCGTGGGCACTGCCTTTCTCTCCCCAACCTTTTAAGAAGAGGGAAGGAAAGGCAGCATTGTGCAATAAAGAAATGTATGCCACTCCATCTCTGTATCTCAAAACTACATTTTTCTTTGCACCCAAACTACGCCTTTGGAACAGCGAAACGCCGAGATGAGCAAATGTTCTGGGAACCTTGGCTGCAGGAACTCGCTGCACATACAGGAGGGACGCGCTGCCCAGCTTCCACAACAGCAGCGCCAGGAGCGCCGCTCCTTCTGCTGCCTCTGTAGGCCGCCCTGCCCTCACCTGGGTCTGGATGTCGTCTCCTGTCACGATGTTGCCGACCGCCCGCAGTGCTGGGGAGGCCACTTTGTAGTCGTTGTGCCTGCAGGAGGGATGGCGCAAGAACAAACGTCTCACCACCTGCCCGGCTGCTTTCAAGATCCACTCTCCAGCCCCCCGCCTGCATTATTCACTTTGGATTCCACCCCCAGCTCAAACCGAACTCACGATACAGGCAGTGTTATCCTTTACACCCCAACTTATCTTCAGGGTTATTACAGATCTCAATGTTTACATTCCACTCCTGAACAAAGACTGTGCCAACTGGCGCAGTGCTCAGTCCTCTCTTTACAGCCTAGTCCAACTATCAGCTTGAACCTCTGCTTGGTACACTCTTCCTAGGGAACAGATGCGTCTTCTCCAAGGCAACAACTGCAGTCTCCACCCACTTCAGACCCTCTCAGGTAACTGCTCCAGCAGTCAGCTAAGGACCTGGACCCCGCACCCACAAGGCAGGGAACACTCTGGTGCACTGTGATACGAACTCAGGCTCAGTCACCTGCAGGGCTGAGGCAGCAAGACAAGATACTTACATTAACAGCTCGACCAGTCGCCGACACACCCCCGAGTCAATAACTGCTTGAATTTTCTCATTGGGGCCATCTGACAAATAGGAAAGAGCCCAGCACGCGTCTGCCAGCAAGTCAGAGTCACTGTTGAATAACAGTCGGGACAACACTGGCAGGCAGGGAGATACCTGCAACAGAGCAGCGCACAAGGTCAGTCCTGCTGCACACCACCACAGCCACACCACCAGGCTGTGCTGGTCAGCAGGACAGCAGTGCTGCACATCACAGTTCCTTCTGAAATTCAGCAGCTCCTTTGGAGCGCAGACCCCTGATGAAGTGCTCCTAGGCGTGCTGCAGTTCAGGAGCTCCTCACATTTCTTATCTAAGAGCACTGCTCCTCCAACCCCCAAGCAGTTCAGCATTCAGAGCAGAAGCCATCAGAAGTGCGCTCACATTTACACGCAATTTAATGTTTTCCCCTTCCCTGTAGGCTTCCCAGCTTTGATGAGCACACTTTCAATTGAAAGAAAGGAAACAGAACAAAAGCACACACTGATCTTAAATTATTTCAGTTCTACAAAAAAAAAAAAAAAAAAAAAAAGATGGACCTGAAGAGCCAGCAGAATCTTTTGCTGGTGCCACTGAAGCACCATGAAAGGGGGAAGCTGATACGTAGTTACAGAGGCCTTACAGCAGCTTGGCATCTCAGAATTGAATTTCCAGTCACAATTTGAGCAAAGCTGCAAACTTCCAGGGTTCATGATAAGAAGGGAAGCTCACAGCACGTGCTGCTTGTTTGGAAGATCAGATTGCCCCTCACCTGGGTAAGGGCTGCCAACAGAGCCATGCATACAGGCTGGCAGAATATTAAACAGGCACTCAAACATCTGCTGAATGGCAAGATCAACCTCAGCAGGAAGAACCTCACCCTGCTCCCTCCCAGAACACCTTGCAGAAGTCCAACGGCCAAAAATAACTTAGACAAACATCTTGACTGGGTGCCTCCCCTCCCCATCTGCCAGCAAGGCATTTACTCTCACCTTATCAAACTCAGGTGGTGGACTCTTTCCTCTGCACAAGTTTGACAAGGCCCAAACAGCATTCCGTGTCATTGTCAACCTGGTGGACTTTGTAAGGAGCCTGAAGAGACAAGTACCATGAATTATATCCTCAGCACAGAGCACAAGTTAGTGGAAATAGACAAAGGAAACAAAACAAGAGAGAAAAAGCCTAACAATTGTAAGGAAGTCAATCCACTGTTCCATTTGCCACACTGTTTGTCACCTGAGGCTCTCAATAAGCACGAAGAGAGGTGAAATACAACTGCTCCTAGAACAAACAGCTCGTTTCCTAAAGCTCAGTGACACAGAACAGGAAGGCAAACTGCGTTAGATAGGTTGCAGAAGGAAATGCAAGACAATCAAATGCAGTTCCACACTCAAATTCAGCCCAGACACTCACACCCCAATCTGTCAGGTGGTTCTCGGTGACCAACTGACACCAACTGCTGTCCCTCTGCTCTGCGGTGAAGAGAGCGCAGCCCGTGGGCTAGGAAAGGCTCAGGCAACTACTGCCCAAAAGGGGCTGACAGAAGCACAAGTGAGCAAACCAGAGCATTCGTGGCAAAGCATCATTTTGCCAAGGATGAGCAGCTATAAGCAATTATTCCCAGAGCAGTGAGAGCACACGCAGCAGCCGCATCTTCTGCCTGTGGTGAGCGTGTTCCACACCTGCAGACCTGCTCCCTTTCCTCAGTGCTACAGAATTCCACTCAGACCAGCACGTGAAATCCACAGCACGAGCACAGAGCAGGCAGTTTGAGGGACGCAGGGAAACAGGAAGCCCTGTGACTTCAGAGAGGCAAGCACACTGCAGCAGCACCCACTTCAGATTCAGAGCAGTGTAAAGGTTTGTGAGAAGGCATGTTATCTACCAAGTCCCACTATCAATCATATGCTTGTCTGAACTGCCAGTTTATCATCCGGTACCAATAGTTCGATTCCCATCATCACATTTCTAGGGAATCCATTTGCCCAGCTCAAATATTGCTCTGCTGCATACAATGGGACTTCGAGAACTGTACTGGCAAGTATTCATGGCTACTCACATTAACAAGGGAGGAAGGATAGCGCAGTTAAGGACATAATCTCTACACACAGAGCTGTCTCCAGCAATGTTCCCCAATGCCCAGACAGCCTGAAAGGAAATAGCAACAGTTTTAGCATTCACACAGTTCCTGAACAGAGGAAGAAAAAGGTGGTTGCTAAGAAAGCACTTTCCTGGAACTCCCAGAAAAAGGCCCTCCAGTTCACAGGCTGCAGCCAGCTGCCAGACCAGCCACTCATTTTGAACACTGAGCCTCAGTCACGTGTGGTTCTTCCCCCAACCCCAAAGTGAGAAGTGAGCCTTACCTGCTCCTGAACATCCTCAAAGTCAGAGTTTAACAGCTCTATAAAGATAGGAACTGCCCCGGCCTCAATTACTATTTTTGTCTGCTGGGAAGTTCCTGATGCAATATTCGTCAGTGCCCACGCTGCCTCAAACTGAAAAAAGCAGAAATGAGGGGACGTGAATAAAGTAACCCAGATGTAGCAGGATCTGCCAGGAAGTCTCAGCACAAACTCTTCTATTGAAAAAGAAAGCATTCCCCAAATAAAACACCTCAGTACTCAAAGATTTTCTTGAGCAATTAGAAAACAACCATCTCTGCTAGACGCCTTCTCAGAGACCACAATTTCTCAAAGGATGACAGCAAAGCTACTGCTTGTTAAATGCCACTCACACCACATTATTTTGCTCGTATGACCATTTTCCAGCATGAAGAGTGAAGATGTACAGCCCAGAAATACACAGAATAACAAGTTTCATCTGTTCAGTGCAACCAGTTTCAGCACACCCTCATCCTGCTACTAGCAGGAAGATGCCTTGAGTTCAAGACCAGCTGAGCACCAAGGATCTACTTCTGCACTCGTGTCTTAATTAGAGCGCAGGCTTTCATTCACTTCCTGCAGGGAATTTCCTCACACTGCACGGCCCTGGGCCACACAGCAGATAGAAAAAACAAAGGCAGCTATCGACTCCGAGATCCAACTGCAGCCATGGAAGCACCTCTGGCCCCTCCAAGATAACTGTAGTTATTACCAAACTGGAAGGACGCTCAGGAGCCCCTCGCCCGTCCCTCTGCCCCACACAGGTCAGCACCACTGAAGCCATTTCCAACACTCACTGCCCCCAGCACCCGAGGGCTTTGCTCAAGCATCTGATTCCTGCACGTTTACTCCATGTCTGCCCACGTAAGAAACATCAGACACAGAAAAGCCACATTTCCCTCAGCTGCAACTGGAATGTAGCTTCTGCTTATTTTTGCCAGGATTCTTCCAAGAGCTCAATGGAGGCTAAATTATAACTGCCTTTTTTTTCCTTCCCCTTTCAAGCATTATCAGCAGCTTTACCGTGCATCACATCTGCACACTCTGGGTTCCAGTCATCACCCCCCTCCCACAGCAGCCCCAGGTTCGCACTGCTTTGCAGGCAGGGTTCAGCAGCCTCCTTTACCTGTAGTGTGCAATTCTCGCTTCTCTTCAGGAACTCCACAAATCTGTCCACCACTCCTTGAGTGTTTATCACTTCATCTATTGGAGGATTTGGCTCTGAAACAGCAACGCAAGATCAAAACAGTATACAGGTCTCATAGAGGTGAATGACAACATGTGCAGCTGTTGAGCTGAGTGGCCTCAGGCTGCACCGAGTGCAGTAGGTCAGTGCGCCAGAGGAGCCTTCAGTAAAATTCATCCAAACTTAATATTACAGCCTGCCTCAAACACAATGCTTGTTTTTTAATAAGCACAACGCTTCTGTACAACACGGCAAGCACACAAACATAAAAGGCTATGTCAGCCCCCGTGCTGGGGATGTTGTCTTTACCTTTAGAAAGTAACTTCCTGAATTTCTGTGTGGTTGCTAGCTGAAGATCAGGGTCGTCTGAGAAAAGCATCTCTACCATCTCTCTTGTGATCACTCCCTCCTTAAGGATGGAAAGGAAACAGAACAGCAGTTCCGTGTCACATTAAGCTTATTTCAGGTATCACAGTCAAGACAGCCTACCACAATTTTGTTCTTAGCTAGTAACCCAGGGATGTGCTATTAGAGATTAAGGCACACTGTCTGGTTCCTGGCACACTTCTCCAGTCGGTTGTAGTAATGTTTGCAACACACTCAACAGCAGGGAAACAAACAGGTGGAGGTTTGTCAGCTCCAAGCAGCCCACAGCACGAGGCCAGGTGTGACTGCAGGGAAAGGCGCCTTACCCCACACGTCGTGGAACTGACATAGGAGTCCATGAGGAGGCTGTCAAACATGGATGCATCTTCACTGATTAATTCCACGTTTCTTCTTTTGAAGAGCTGGCAGAGAACGGAGCACAGCAGTTATTAGAAAGCAGTGTTTGTTTAACAGTCTTCATAACTAGATGTCCCTGCTCCTCAAACGAGATACTGTCAGCTGTGACTAAGTGCAGTCATCAGTAACAGCTCTGCACAGTGAAGACCAGCTTGGCACACAAACCCTGATAATAAAGCATGCTAAGCCTCGCCCTCAGATACGCAAACGCCCAAGTCAGTGAAACACGGGCATATGCAAGTGCAGAATTTAGCCTAACAAGTTGGGAAAAGCAGGGAGAGGGCAGCTTGTAGGTGATGCAACCAGTCTGAGCCACACGCATCACCTGGGAATCACCTCTCACTGTCAGACTTCCAAGCAGAAAAAACCCAACAGCTCAGAGTCAAGAAATACATGCAGTGCACACTTCCACTTGTCTCGCTTCTTGGAGCAAGACCCCCATTTACTAATTAACAAAACCAAACCTTAAAACCAAGGATCTGTGAACAAAAACCTTTAGGGCCCCAAAGACAAAGTGCCTGGAGGGCTCTTGATGTGATCGTGTACAGAGGAAAAGAGATCTCAGGACAGAAATAACCAGGGCTGCCAACAAACCTTAATGCACAGATCCTTGAGTGCCCCGGTTAGGCAGCAGCGCAGCCTTGGCTGCATTAAGGCTGCACACCAACCACTCGAGGTGAGCCTCACCTGCTGCTCTCGTTTCTGTTTGCGCAGCTGAATTCCCTCCTCTTCTCTCCTCCGACGCATTTCCTCAGGATTGAGGGCTTTGTTCTTGTAGCACTTCATTCGATAGTTGTCCTTCGCAGGACTCGCCATGCTGTCTGTGAATGGAAGAAGAGGCCTCAGGCTCCTGGTCACTCTCCACTCCTCCACCCGCGCGTCCCTTCAAGCAGAGCAGGCAGGTGAAGCAGTGCCTCTAGAACACGTAGTGCTGAAGGAAGCAGCTCTGCCTTACAATGGCATCCTGACATCAGCTCCAATGATGTGCTGTTAAGACAAAAATACCGAGTTCACAGGAAGCAGAGCAGATTCACCGCTCTGAAAGGAACCTGGATCCAACTTCACAGCACTGATGCACACGGTCAACATGAAAAGCTTCTCCTCAAACAGCTTTGCCATCCTCAGGAGGCAACAGCCGAGCTCCAGTTTCCAGCAGAACCCATTTCCCTCGTATCCTCATGACACAACCACACCTGGACGCCTCCCCACACTCAGACAGCGACCGCAGCCAGATTGTCACTCAGTAGCTGTACTAACTGCAGTGCTTTGGAGCAGGCTGTGAGAGCACCAAAACACAAAAACACACACATGGCAGAAATCCAACAGCGTGCAGTAAATAGAGGTCTTTATCTTACAGTTCCAGTTAAAAACACTGCAGAAAGATTAGCTGTACGTATCATAGGCTGTGTTTGTCCTGCCAGATGACTGCGAGCGTTCAGCACCTGACCTACTTCTGCTGCTCCGTATCTGCCTCAGGCAGAACTGCAGCTTCACTGCTGGCACACCTGCCTCCTGCCCAGGGCAGTGACACCAACCAGCACCGAGCAGCACCAGCCAGCAGAGACCAGCCAGCAGCAACCCGAGCACACAGACATCAACTCCTCAGCCCCGTCCGGCTGCACTCCCGTTTTGAGCACAGAGCTTCCCAAACACTCCCCTCTCCCATTCATGAGGAAGGCTGTTTGACCTCAGTTCCACACCCTGCACAGGACAGGAAGGAAGCAATGATAACCCACAGCAAACTGCCAATTAACCCCGAGACCAAATTACTCCTCTCTGACCGTCAGCTGGACCTCAGTATCTTTATTTTCTTCCACCTGTCCTCAGCTGCTGCAAGAAATACCTGTGAAAGTCTGTGGCCCTACGTCATTAACATCTCCTTCGAATTTTAAGCACCAGAGCCACTGCTTACAGGAAGTCCAAGTCTGCCTTATCAGCTGCCTCCAGCCAGGCTGGAACCCTCCCAACATCAGCTTGGGATGCCGTGGGCCTCACTGCCCTACGGGAGCACCCACAGCACTGGAGAAAGGCAATTCCAGGTGCAAACACCCAGCCTTCACTGCTGCTGAGAGAAGAGGCAACTGGAAGAATTCCTACATCAGCATAAGAGGAAACACTTTCAGGAGGTTTTCAAGAATTGGAGACACTGAACATCAAGGAAAAAACCCTTCTCTTTTCACAGGACTTGTTTTTTAAGAGAGCATCCCCTTCCCTAGCTAAAATACCAAGGACACTCCTGTGAGAAACAGCGGATAAAGAAAAAACCGCCGCAAATCAAGATCCTCTGGTCAGCGCAGCAAATGCACACAACAGCGGATAGCTTGACTTGGAAAAGGCTGCAACTTAACCCTAATAAAGACAAATTTCCTAATTCCCTTTGGAAGGCAAGGTCTACAATGAAAAGGTAGTTTTTAAGAAAAGGAGGAGCAAAAAGCGATTCAGAGGCTTCGCACGGCGCAGGTGATGCAGACAGGCCACGCAAACCTGGTGCCACGGCAGCTCAGCAGCCCATAGCAGCACAGCTGAGGCTGTGGGCTCAGAGCTGCACGGCCGACTTCCAGGCTTTGGGTTTCAGCAGCGTTCAAAGCCACCTGAAACTGCACGGAAAGCCAAAGGCCCCAGCCAGCCCAAGGAGGATCTTTGCACGCCAGCTGTACGGCTGCCGCGCACCAGCACGCAGCACCTCGTGGGCTCTTGGTTCTCCTTATCTTGCACACATTTCTCTCTTCAGGTTCTTCCCATTGACTTTTTCCAGCCCACCATCTATCTCACTACTCTGACAGTGTCAAAACAACAGTTTGTTACAATACATTCCATTTCTATGGCAACTCATGAATGCCACAGATGCAAGATTGTGACTTTGCTGTGAGCTCAGCAGATGCTGTAGGCACCAGACTGCAAAGCAAAGTGCAAACACACGAAACAAAACACACAGCAGCGCACCAAGCACGATCCAGTTCTTTACTTGTAGTATTTGTGCATCCTCTACACCTGCAGTCAGGCTTCTGCAGTGTTACCTATTGACTCAAGCCCTCCCAATGCGAATACCCACACAGCGATGCCACCGAATCACAGTGGCAGAATAATTGGGATTTTCTGATTAGGAAAAGCAATCACCCGCTCATTTCCGTGTGACACCAACAATTCTCAAGCCACGTATTTCCACTGTGTGACTTCATATACAAAATGTTGCTCTGAGAAATTTCTCCTTTTACAGAAAAGCTCCTGGTTAAGGTGGCTGTGGTGGCTCCTTAAAGTATGTTTCTGTTAGCTGCATTTAGGCAGCCAATCAAACCAGTATGATTACACCACACCTCTCCTAGGGAAGGTTTTTCTCTAAGAGCCAACAAAGCCCTGCCTTAAATCCAGATAGTATCAGCCCACGCCCTGAGTTACAGAACTGTTCTGATGCCATTCCAGGAGAGGTCCTGGCTCTGCTGTACCTGCAGCACTCGGCAGCAGCTCAGCACAAAGCTGCTCCTCCCGCAGCACCGGGGCTGCAGCCCCACCAGAGCGACCTGCGGAGCCCCTCCAGCTGGGCTGCAGCACGCAGGCTGCGCTGCAGACAAACCCCTGTGGCAGAGCCTGCAGCTGCTCACTGCTCAGAACTCACCCAGCCGAGCCTCCCAGCATCGTCCCTTCACAGAAGCAGGATTTCCAGCCCCAGAACTGTGCAGGCAACAAGCTGAGCTCAAGCCTGCCTGACCAACAGCACTGCTGGACAAGTTCTGGGATCAAATCATTGATCAAAACCAGCACACTTAAATCAAAGCCGGGCTTTAATCAAGATAATTCATACTGGGAATGATTTCAAGTGTCCTGTGAGCTGAGAATTCCCTCACAGCCATTCCTCCTTACCACATACTGCACGATGAGAATGTGTTTATCACCTATGGGAGAAGGAAAAGCAGGATGGGAGTTGGACCAGGGATCAGCAGAGCACTCAGACTGCAAGCACCTGCGTGGAAGCCAAACACCAACCACAGCATTCAGCCACAAAGCAAATCCAGGGTCTCTACTGCCCCACCAACATTGTAACAGCTTCCTAGCATTACTGAATCAGAAACCCAACCTCACTTCTTTGCAGATGACCTTCCTCCCACCGCCCTGCACTACAGAAAGCATTCGCTTCAAAGAGTTTTTCAGCTGCTGATTAAAGCTCCCAGCTGAGTCACTGCAGGAACTCGTATGCCTAAATCAGGACTGGTGCTGCTGAGTCAGACTGAAGGGGCAGAACAGAAACAGTTACACTGAGATTTTACATGGCTTTTTTTTTTTTTTTTTTTTTTTTTTTTTTTTTTTAAGCTAAAACACCCTTAATGAGGGCAATCTTCTGCAGGCACCCATGACAGCTTCTGGTTCATGTGCTCACCTGCTGCAGGTGCTGAAGTTTGAGAAGCAACAGACAAAAGTTGTTCTGAACCTCGGATTTAATGCACTTTACATTACATTTTTCTTTAGTTGGTTCTTAAAGTGATGTTGAAGCAGTTGTTTTACACCACAGCATAAAGGTTCTGCAGAACAGCAGCTACAGACCTGGTACCTGACCAGGGGATTCCCTTCCAAGCTGCGTCCACAGCATTTTAATGATTTCAGCTGGCAAAGGAAAAAGCGAAGCCTAAATAATCTGTGCTCCTTGAATACAGGTTAAATGAAGTTAGCAGCAGCAAATACAGATAGCTGAACTGCCTGCACCCACTGCACAAGGTCAGCTCCCAACCGCCGCCAGACATCAGCCAAGAACACAAACTTGTTCTTGGGAGCTCGTTGTTTTGTCTCCCCGCAATTTTGATAGTTTTGCAGTGCAAAGGACACCGGGGGAGACCCACAAAACTGCTTAGGAGACGACAGAAAAGGAAGCTGAGAAGTTCTGCTTGTAGGAAGACAAGAAGTTCTGTAAGCAGTGCCATCAAACAAGCAGCAATGTGAGGCCGTTCCCCCGGCTGTGTCAGAGCTGCAGAACAGCCCCCCGGAGCAGCCTGCCCCGAGTTCTGCCCCACCGCACGTCCTCCCGTGTTTCTTACACTCAGCAGCACCCTTTCAGAGCGCTCCCAAACGCAGCGTGCAGCCGAGGCCAGGCACTCCGTGTGCAGCACAGCCTGTGCCAACCAAACACTTATGTGCACAGCTCGTGGCCGCCCGGCTCATCCCACTGCTTTGGCCACCGAGAGCAGCGATTCCAGCACGACTGGAATGCACAGAGCCCAGCGGCTGCGGGGGGAGGGAGCGGGAATCCTCTGGGGAAGGACTGGGGCTGCAGCATCTCTGACTTTCACCAGGCTGAGCCCAACTGTGGCAGCCCTTGGGCTCCGAGCCTGACTGCGTGAGACCCGCTTATGTTTCAGCTCCATCTCCTCCTCTTGTCCCTACGGTCCTGGAGCCAGGGATTGGCAGCTTTAGGCCCTCTCTGCACATCCCAGGGCCTTCAGCTCCCTAAGGAGCACACTGATGATGCGTGAGGGATAACAGCCTCCTGTCAGGGGGCAGAGAGCCCCTGTGACACTCCTTGCAATGAAGATTAACTTTGAGTCACCTCTAACCCGAGGCTGCAGCGTTACAGAGTCCTAAAGCCACTCGAAGCGGCCAAACACAGCAACATCCCAGAAGCTCAGCCGGCCCAGCAGAGCTCTGCAGCAGCTGCACCCAGCACTGAGCTCCATCGGTGCATTTCTCCAGACCTCACAAGCAGCACAGACCAGAAGCACAGTGCTGAAGGAAGGGGCACTTCAGCTCTGACACCGACCACCATTAACAGCGCAGCTCCCCTTCACAAAGTTCATGTTTGCTCGCCTCAACTCGAGCAAACAAAGCAAAGCAGCCAAATAACCAACGGGATCCGGGATCCATCGGCTGCGCGGGTCCGTTCAGCACAGCAGAGCGAACACACGCGGGCGTGCGAGCGCACGGCAACGGGAGGAGCGCCCAGAGCACAGCAGGGCCGGCAGCGCAGCCCCGCAGCTGGGGCCGTTCGCCGGGAACAGCGAGAACCCGAACTTCGTTCGTCTTAAAAGCGAGCGACGTTACACCGATAAAGAGAACGGCGTTGGGCGATCGCCGCCAGGAAGGCCGGCGGGACGGGACGAAGCCTTCAGAGCCGCCGCAGCGCTCACAGCCGCGCCCAGCCGAGAGATCCCGAACAACACCGAGCCGCCAACGGCCGGCCGAGAGACGGGAGCGGCGACACAGAGCCCAGCACCGCCCCGACCTCCGAGCGCGCGGAACGCAAACGGCTCCGGAGCCGCAAACCGACAGCGGCGGCCGCGCCCAACGGCTCCGCGCGGAAGCACGGCCCGCATCGCAGCCGCCCCGAGCGCCGAGAGAGGCCCGAGAGCGGCACGCGGCTCCGCGGAGCTCCGGCGGCTGCCGCCTCCGACGGTCGCGCTCGCGGCTGCCGCCCCCCGGCCCGCCGCCCCGGGATGACTCAGTGCGCGGCCCCGAGACAGGAGCGGCCGGCACCGCCCGCGTGCGGACGGCTCGGCCCCGGCTGGACGGCACCGCGGCTCCGAGCGCACGGCCCAGCCCCGCCGCCCTCACCCATCGCGGGTCCCCGGGCGGACGCTCCTCCGGCGGCGGCTCCGAGCGGCGGCGGCCACAATATGGCGGCGGGAGCAGGAGGGCGGGGAGCGGGCGCCCGACGGCGGCCGAGAGGAACCGCGCGGCGCCAAACGCGGAGGCCACGCCCCTTTCTTGCGGGGGGGCGGGGCGATGCGAGGGGGCGGGGCCGATCCTCGCCGCCCGCGTGCGGACCTTGTCGCCGTCCGCGTCCCCCGAGCGCCGTCCCCTCCCGACCCCCGCTCTCGTCAGCCCCAACCGGAGCTCACAGCCCCATCCCCGGAGCTAACCCTTCCCCGTTACCCGTCCCCAGGCCGCCCTCCCGGCCTCGCTGAGCCGGGAGCGGGCGGCCCCGGGACCCCAGGGCAGCCGTTGGGGGCGAACAGCCGCACCGCCACGCGCGGCTCGGTGACTCAGAGAGGACAGCAGGCACGGAAACGCTGTAGGATGTCCTTTCTTTACAAAGTGCATAAAGGATCCGCGTCCCTCGCTGCTCCCGGGCCGCGTGGCGCGGCGGCATCAGGTGCTGCGTGGCCGGCAGTTCCCTCCCATGGCAATGAAGACATCAACGGGGACGTGGGGCAGCGTCAGGCAGTGGTTCGCGGGGCATCGTCGCAGCTGTCTGCAGGGAGAGCGGGGTGAGCGCAGGGACAGCAGAGCACAGCGCGTAGCACCCGGGGAGCCCCGCCGGACCCTCACCTGCCCGCGGTCCATGCGGTGCCCACCCGCTGCTGTGTCTCCAACGCTGTGGCCGCTCTGCGACAATCGCCTGCCTCGATGGGGAACCTCCGGGCCCGCGGCGCTTCCTGGGAGCTCATGTCCGGGCCCGGCTGTCTGTGCGCGCGGAGAAGCGGCTGTCAGCGAGGTGAGCCGCGGCGCGGGGCCTGGCTGCGTTCCTCGCTGCGGCCGTGCCTCGCCCTCACGAGGCGAAGGAGCCCGGCCCGGTTGGGCTGCAGGCGCTGGAGCTGCCGAACTCAGCTCAGATGTGAGGCTGCAGTGGAAGGGAAGGAGCGCAGCCCGGCACAGAGCTCGTGGCACGGCCCTGGGCTCCCCTCCCTGCTGCAGCAAAGCGTTCTCTGACCGCCGGCTCTGAAAGCCTTTCTGCCTCACCCCGATCCGCCCCGAGGAAAGTGGGAGAGGAACACGTGGGGCCCCCGGCAGCCCCCCGCCCCGCGCTCCTCCATGCCATGAGCTCCCTACTCACGGTGCCCACTGAGCTCAGCGCAGCCTGATCCCCCCCTGCCTGGTAGAGCGGTCGCCCACCTGGATCACATCTGTCATCTGGGATTCACGCAGCATCAGCTGCATCACAATAGCACGCCCAGGCCACAGGAGGTGCCTCGATGCCCCTTCCCACCAGGGCATGAGCAGGGCCTGGTGGCCCTACGCATGCCAACAGAGGGCACGGGGGTCCCCTGGCCACTGTGATGCTGTTGTCGAGTTGCTGGGGTAGACCTGAGATTGAACAGCCCCAGTGTGTGAGAGAACATGGAGGAGTTTTTGCTTACCAATGGCTACCAGCTTGGCAAAACCATTGGGGAGGGAGCTTACTCCAAAGTGAAGGAGGCCTTTTCCCATAAGCACCAGAAGAAAGTAGCAATTAAAATAATTGATAAGAGCGCAAGTCCAGAAGGTAAGAAGTAGCCTCAAAGAGCTTCCAGGCTGAGGCACCATCCCTCCTTGAAAGCTTTTCATTCCTGCCAGAAAGTGAGTTTCCCAAACTTTCCACCTAAGAGCAGACAGGGAAGGCAGGTGTTGAGGGCAGCGCAGAGCAGCCGGGGGGCCACAGCCCAGGGGGGGTTGGTTTGACCGGCTCCTCCAACTGCAGAGGCGGCCAAAAGCAGCAGAGCTCAGATCCCCTGCAGATAAGGGTCCTGCGAGGAGCCAGGCACCCACGGCACAACCTCCCCTCCTTCCCACCCTGTGGCTGCAGCCAGGCCAAGTGCCGGAGTTCAGCGACTCGGGAACTGACAGTGAATTTTCCTCCTCTTGGCAGAGTTCATTCAGAAATTCCTGCCCCGGGAGCTGCAGATCGTCGAGCGCTTGGACCACAAGAACATCATCCGCATGTACGAGGTGCTGGAGTCTGCAGAGGGGAAGATCTACCTGGTGATGGAGCTGGCCGAGGACGGGGACATGTTTGACTACGTGGCACACAAGGGCCCCCTGCCCGAGCACCGCGCCAGGGCGATCTTCCGCCAGCTGGTGGAGGCCATCCAGTACTGCCACAGCTGCGGGGTGGCTCACCGCGACCTCAAGTGCGAGAACGCGCTGCTGCAGGGCCAGACCGTGAAGCTGACGGACTTCAGCTTTGCCAAGCGGCTCCCTGCAGGCAGCCGGGAGCTGAGCCGCACCTTCTGCGGCAGCATGGCCTACGCGGCGCCCGAAGTGCTGCACGGAGTGCCTCACGACAGCCGCAAGGTCGACGTCTGGGGCTTGGGCGTCATCCTCTACGTCCTGCTGTGCGCCCAGCTGCCCTTCGACGACACCAACATCCCGCAGATGTTGTGCCAGCAGCAGAAAGGCGTCTCCCTGCCCAGGCACCTGCGGGTCTCCAGGTTGTGCCAGGACCTCCTGAAAAGGCTCCTGGAACCAGACATGGTCCTGCGGCCCTCGGTGGAGCGGCTCAGCAGGCACCCCTGGCTGTCCAGACCCTGAGAAGCGCTCGCCCCGCTCCCTCCCGCAGGGAGGAATTGCTTCCAGGATGCCAATAAACTCGGATGTCAGTGTTTCCCACTAATTCAGCCTCACGATTGCTGCCGGAGACGAGGTGTGTTTCACACCCGGCCATTTTTACCCGCTCCCTCACAGCCCCCGGCCTTCAGCAGCAGGGAACAGAGCAGACCAAGAGGATCCACCCCCATGTCCTCGTCCCCATCCCCCTCCCCACTAAGTAAACTTCCCTTGAGGTGAGGGGGAGGAAAGCAAATAGAAATTTAAAGCGGTTGATCCTCTGGAGGCAGCTGTCTCCAGCCCACAACAGGCAAAAGAAACGAGGACACAGGTGGCAACTGCTGAATTCTTTTAATTGCTGTTAACTGCAAGTCTGTAAAAGGTTTGGAGAAAGTCATTGTTACAAAACTACCAGCTGTTAGAATTGTTCCTGGTTTTTCACCCCAGCTAGAAAAGGCTCAGGGAGATGTGGAATAGTTCCAAACAGAGAATATTGCACAGACAACCAAATGGTTAATTTGACTAAAGAAAAGAGACACGCAAGGGCAGCGCAGCCCCAGAGCTCTGCATCCAGCCTGACTCACAGACCCAGGGAGCGCAGCGCTGAGCGCCTGCCCCGGCAGCAGCCCCACAGCAGGAACCGCCCCACGGCTGCCCGGCATTTGCTCACAACAGGTTTTTCTGCTGGAGCCAAACGCAGCCCACAGGTGAGGCTGTGCAGGTTGTAGAGGCTCTGCTGGACGCTCTGGGAGCTGAGCTGCATTCAGTCCCTGCTCCTCATGGGTTCTGCAGCACAAGCAGCTCTCATGTAAGGGCCTCAAGTCGGTGCTGCTGCCAACCCACACTCCCCAAACGTGGGGAGAACAATATCAAGTTTTCCAAGAGCACCTACACTAATGCAACTAGAAATGAGGAAACCACAGCTCAAATGAAGCAGCCAAGGAAGGGGCAGAAGAACAAAGGTAGCAGGTATGAAACCACCTCCCAAAAGGCCAAGCACAGCTCCGCCCCCTTAGGGAACCTCCTGTTCCTGACTTCCAGTGAGGAGCATCTCCTGACCTTAAGAGGGAGCTGCCCTGGAAAGGGGCGCTGGGGCTGAAGGAAGCATTGCAAGCAGTCGCAGGGGCTCAAGTGAAGGAAACCAAATGAGCAGAGGGCGGCCTGTGGCCCCGGGGCAGACAAAGGGGTGGCTGCAGCTCTGCTAAGGGCACCAGTGCAGCAGGGTGCTGCTCCAGGCTGACCCAAAGCACCGCCCACCCAGGAAGGGCTCAGGAAAGAGCAAGCCACAAGCACTCTGCTTGGAGAGTTTAATAGAAGTACACAAAACGCAGTAGAGAAAGGCAGTGCAGCTGTTTTAGCTGCAAAGAGCACAACATCAAGCCTTGGCTCTTAGAGGAGCCATTGCTCTTGCTGCAGGAGACAGGAGTTTCCATTAGAAGAAGCTTCCAAGACAAAAAGCCAGGCAGAAGCTAAGGGTTTGGCAGGGAGTTTAAGCTCCTTCCAGCGTGGCCCAGCTTCAGGCCAAAGCCAAAAGCCAACTGCTTTCCTTTGCAGCAGTGAGTGTGACAGCAGACAGGACACTTCTGCTGCAGTACCTCCAGCCCCAGCCGCTCCCCACAATGGGGGTGATGAGCCAGCAGCTCAGAGAGCAAGCAGGAGCAGCACCTGGGAACCTCTGAGCTGCTGCACACAGATTAAACACACACACACACACACACCATCACCCAACAGGCAGTCTGACAGCACCAAGCAATCCTGCCAGCTGCCCAAGTGCCCACTCAGCCCCTCACTGCATTGCATCTGCCTCCACCTGACGCTTTTGGGGCTGTCAGTTTTGGCCTCGCCACTCTCTCGGACCTCCTCAGAAGATGAGCTCCCCAGCAGCTTAAAGTGTACGAGCAAATTCCCACTTCTTCCCCCCTCCTCTGGGTCTGAAGGGGTCGTTTGAGATGCCCACAGGATTTAGCAGGAGTAAAACTCCTTCAGCCAGGAGCTGCAATCCCCAGCACAGTTACACACAAAGGAATAGCCGGTCCGTGATTTAATTCACATTCGATGGTGGAAATGAGCCTGTGATAAGCTGGAAGCCGTTGCTTTATTCCCAGTCTTCCCACTCTTCATCTTCCAGCTGCAAACAAGAATAACATCCCTCAATTGTTTCTGCAACTCAGCGGCCATCTGCTGAGAAATCCTCCTTCCCAGGGCACCTGAGCCTGCACAACCCCCAGCTCCACGTCCGGACAGCAGGGATCTGTTTGCTGAGCTCTCCCTGGGGAACACTCCTCCCTCGCTGAGCACATCTGGACGCCACCCTCTGCTCCAGCTAATCCTGATCCCCACGACCCTGCAGAGCTGAAATGTTGGCGCCCTCTGGGAGCAGAGCTCTCCTCCATCTGAGTGACTGCCAGCCCCAACTCACCTCCCCAGACACCTCCACCTTCGACAACGCCAGCTGCACCTCCTCTTCAGTCATATCCAAATCAAAGTCCTTCTCCCAGTCCTCGCTGATATCAGTGCTGGAACCTGGAACCACAAACACCACAGCTGAGCCACCCGGGCTGCATCTGCTCTCCAGGCACTCTGGCCAAAGCAAAAGCTGCTCTGCTCAGCAGACACTTTCAATTTCTTTTCTCTTCCCTCCATTATCACCAAAGCAAAGAACCCGGGCTTGGCTTTTCATATGTTCCAGACAGCAATTCAGGGAACAGCGGGCTGGGACAGAGATCTGCACAGCAGAAAATCTCTCCGTGGGTCAATTAGGATGTTACCTGGTCTTAATGTTTTGTCAAAAGGCCCAACTGACCCCATTATCTGCATGACCAGCATCAGAGCTCCAAGCCCAAGATTCTGCACCCTGCTTTCCATTCTGAGCCCCTTCCTCAAAAGCTGCCACACAGCAGGTTGCCAGGCTGGTCCACACCCACCTTTCTTGCCGTTGTTGGAAGGAGTGGACTTCCCACTGTCAGAGTTCAGCTCAAAGATCCGTAGATCTGCCGGTCCTTCCTCTTTCAGAGTCTCTGTCCTGCCTTGGGCTTTGCTCTCCACCTCTTTGGCCCCACTCACAGCCGGCTGCTCTGAGTGCGCTGCTGGCTGCTGCGCAGAGGGACGCCCCGGTTCGGGGGGCTTTGGCAGCGGGTTCTGCTCCTCTGAGGTGGCCTCCAGCAGCCTCTGGGAGAGCACTCTGTCCCCAGATGGCTGCACTCCAGTCTGTAGCTGCACGGCAGGCACAGAGGCAGGGTTTGCAATCTGAGTCACGAGGGAAACGCTCTCGCTGCTCTCAGAGGGGCTCCCCTCTGCTGGGGCCAGCTCAGGAGGGAGGATGGCCCAGCTTTCCTCCGAGGGTTCCTTGTGAACAGAGGGGTGGCTTCCCTCCAGGGCTGCAGGAGCAGATGCTTTCTCTGCTGCTTGTGGAAATTTCACGTTCGCACAAGGCAGGGGTGACATCCCCAAGAACTCCTCTGTAAGAAGGCAGAAGAGAAGCAAGAGATGTTTCAGCGAGTGCAGCAGCAACTGACAGCACAGCAGTTCTGGATAAAGCTGGGCCAGGAGCTGAACTGGTGGGAGCAAGGAGGAGCTGCCACCTTCTCTAACACAGAGTGCTGACGGCTGCACAAGGCTGCCCACAGAACCCCCTCCACCATCTAACCCACCTTCATCCTCTTCCCAGCCTGGCTCCTCTTGGTGAATGCTCTGCTCCGCGCGCTGCTTCAGGGCCTCCCTCCGGACTTCATCCTGCAGGGAACTCAGCATCAGCAGCTGCTCACGTCCTGGACCTTTCTTCCCCCAGGAACATCAGCAACGTCAGGGACACAGAAGGCAGCCAAGCCCTGCTCTTCCAGGAATGAACCTTCCACTCTTCAGCCTGCCCCAGCAGCGCTCTGCTGCAGTGCCACCCCCACCTGCCCACCCACCTGCTCCAGGCGATGCACTTTGTAGAAGTAGCGCTGCCAGAACTCCAAGTGGGAGACAGCCGCAGGGACCTGGAAACAGCACAGGAAGGGGAAGGTCACGAGCCTTTCAAGAACCACTGTAAGCTGCACAGGGCACCAGCCTCCCAGGCACACAGAGCTGGGACAAAGCGCGAGGTTCACACCAACAGGTGCCCAGACATCAGACAGCCAGAGAACTTCTGATCCGGGACCATGAAAAACAAGTGGGGGCAGAAATACGACGTGCAACTACAATCCTTTCTGCCACCAACTCCTCAGGGCTCAGGTGGGAATCATAACCCAGATCAGAACCTTCCTGCTACAGTAAGAAAGGCCGTTACCATTTTAGTGTAGAGAGCCCGGATGGAAGGGCTGGTTGCCAGCAGTTCTGCGATCTCCCCTTTCTTCTCTTCCAGGCTAAACTGGGAGAGCCAGGCTTCAAGAAGCTCAGCAGGGCCTGCACAGGACAAGAAGAGAGATAACAATCTTTGGCACAAAGTTTCAGGGAGTTTCTTTTGAAAGATGCTCCCGATGAGATGAGGTGAGCAATGGTCAGGCAAGGAAAGGCAGGAATACCACAAGACATGCAGCCCTGAGATGAGCACACCTTCCTGTGGCATCAAACCCCACACAAGCGGGAGGGGATTCACAAGCAGCGTGCAGTCGAAGCAGAGAAACCAGGGAAGGGAGGAATAGCATTTTCTAGCCAAAAGCAGCCAAGGCCTGGAGGGCTGCACGCACTCCCCCCCATCTGCCATACGCTGCCTGTTCCCAGAGGAAAGGAGCAGCACTGCTGCTCACAGCTGTGTGACAGATCCCAGCCTCAGGGGAGACCGAGACTCCGATCTCTGCGCCCACCTGTAGGACAGCAGCAGCTGCAGAAGCTGTTTAAACCAACCCAGAAAACTCGATCTAAGCTAGTCCTCAAGGCAACAGATGGGCCTGCTTCCCACCACAGTGCCCTTGCCTACACTCAGTCCACAGACCCCCTGCCGAAAGGTTCTGCACAGTTCAGGACAGCCTGCAGACCCCACACCAGGGCAGCTTTTTTCAGCAGAGCTGCCAGGGCTCCGTACCGTCAGGTTCGTTGCAGTAG